AGTGAATTTAATAAGATAAAATGAAGTATATCTTCACTAAAGCTCTTCATTTGTCGCCGAGAATCAAATAGATTATACGACATTTGAAAAAAAGGCAAAAAGGTGGGGTTGGCATGGGAAGTTAGTGTCCGTATGGATCGAAGTCACGATAGCTCAAGTGGTAGAGTAGCGGCGTATCTAGCCGAAGGTCGTGGGTTCGAATCCCGCTCGTGACACTGACTTTTTTATCTCAACTAAAAATCTTTATATATTTTTCGAAACGGACCGTTACATTCTGTTCATTAAATAAAACAATTCTCTGATTTAATTTTTTATAGAAGTTTCTCCCCATACAAGAGTTGTATAAGTCTCCTTGCCCTATCCTGTCATAAATTTATTTGCTTTGATTTTTAAATAAAAATATAATATAAGCGTCGATAAGACGGTCAAGGGAACCTGGAATTGGAAAACTGGGACGAGAATGCTGAAAGACCTTCGTAGAAACATAAAGTCCACCCTAAGCTTATATTATTCACAATGGGCTTTCATAATCTTAATAAGTATCGGATGGTTTAAATACTTGCCCATGTTTAAGATGGCGTTTCGCCGAATGACAGTTCAATGAGTTCACCCATCCGCAGACCAAAAGTAACTACAAACTTTTATATTTTTAGTAATTTTATGGGAACAAACCTTCTTATTCTTTAACTCTATTCCACAAAGTATCCAATAAAAGGGGGGCGTTTTAGCTGAAAACGTAAGGCAGAAAATTCCTTAGTTTAAAATCCACTCTGTGTCAATTGTTTGTTTTCTAGTTTCAATCGGTTATCGTAGATTTCAAGAGATTTTTATTCACTTAGTCAGTCAAAGATAAGAAAAACAATACTTTTATTAGGAACATTCAAGGAAAGGCATTGTTAGCTCGGTTATCACACGTCAAATCGTTGTGACGTTTCGATAAATCAAAAAAATTTAAGCATATCTTGGCGGGGAAATTGCTAATAGATTCAAACCGCCTAGGGAAGTTTTCTTTTTGCGTTTCGATTTTCCACATGGATGATTATTAAAATGTCGATAATTTTGGACTTTGCCAGAGAGCAGTCCTTTCTATTTTGGGCAAACGTTTGATCGATCTCGGAGGGTTTAGTTTTTCTTTTAAGGGTTGCATAACACGTTTTTTTAAACCTGAAATCCCTAGGAACTAGTTATGTTATGTTCGGAATGTGAGATATACCGCGCCCTTGAGAGCTATGTATCCTCCGTTCAGTACCTATAGCACCCTGATTAGGCCTAGTTCTAAAATATGATTAGTAGGCCCGGTTTCATTGGTTTTTTGTTCGATCTCGGAGGGTTTAATTTTTCTTTTAAGGGTTGCATAACACGTTTTTTTTAACCTGAAATCCAGGATCTAGTTATGTTATGTCGGAATGTGTGATATACCGCGCCTTGGGATTTATTGTATTCCCAGTTCTGCACCTACAGCACATCGGTTAGGCCTAGTTTTTTTAAGTAATTTGATTAGTAGGCCCGGTTTCATTGGTTTTTGGGTCGATCTCGGAGGGTTTAATTTTTCTTTTAAGGGTTGCATAACACGTTTTTTAAACCTGAGATTGGGGCGTCTGTGGGCGCAACGGTTTACGCGTTGACACGGCGCTCATCACTGTAAGTTAAAGGTCCCGGGTTCGAATCCAGCGGCTCTGCATTCGAGCCCGACATACTTACAAATGGGCTTTTTTTTCAAAAACACCGGCACCCTGAGGGTTGTTATAACCTCTGCTGTTGCGAATCCTCGTAAAAAAATATAAATAAATAAAAAATCGGAGCAGTACCCCGTTTTTTGTAGTATTTCTAAGTAAGGGAAGAAATCCTATCGATGTGTTTTAGGGTATGAAATAGCAATTATTGAACATAGTGCTGAATAAATTTCGCTTCAAAAAATCAATTTCACCAGATTACAAGTGTAGAGAAAAATAATTACTTTTTATAATGGAACAGGACGACTTGTCTTCTCCCTGGAGCTAATCTAAAGTGGCTTTGTCTAGACATTGTTAATGGGTAGCCAGGAGCGGTTTTAAGAGTTCTCGGTCTATTTTAGATAAAAGTTGAATTTCTTCTGATCTACTGACCTGGGCTCACAAGGGTTTTATTGTTGTTTGTAACTTTAAAACAGCTCTTTTTCACCGCTTTGCCTTGTGTAAATAAGATGACCGGGACCGTTTGTTTGCCCCTCGCAGCTCAAAAGGAACCGAAATAAAATGGGCTGACGTTTCTATTTTGTAAATTGAACATCTGAGCATTTATTTCAACGTGGAGGAATGTTGAAAACAAACGGTGGAAGGACGTATGATAACAAACCGTGGATGAGTTTTTTTATGCATATGAAGTCGTATGTGCAGAACAAAAGACGGCCGAAGATCGTCTGTATGCTTGAACTCGTTTACTTCTTAGAGAAAACTCCTGTCAAAACAAACGTGTTCAGAAATTCTTCTCCACCAGAACCTCGTCGGGCAACAGTACTTTTTAAAAATAAATTAAATTACTTACCTTACGTAATAAGCAAATAGCAGGTTAGCAAACTAAGCGTCCGCGTACATTCTCTTCAGATAATTTTTTTTAATATGCTTCTGTCTTATAATATTGAAAAACTTTACTATGCAAATGATTGGGTTAAGGGAAAAAACAAGATGTGTACTCGTCAAACTGAAACAATTATCTGGAGCAAGTTTGGGGATGGATAGAACAGCACTCGGTGCTATGTACAAACGCGTTTTCCTCCCTTTGGCTACATACAGTGCGACAGACTGAATACTAAGGCATAAAGATCCTTGCTCAAGCCCAAAGGTTGGCTCTGTTAAGGATGACCAAAGGTCCATCCTTCGATCTGTACCTCATTTCAATAACAACACTGAGGACAAAAGGGGCCAACTGTTGGAAATACAAGGATGTGATCAAGAGACACTCAGCTCCATCATGGAAGCTGACAAGTCGATGCCAAAGCAAAGATGGGAAAATGGATCCTTGACAAGTGGCAGAATCGATGGTCCCATAGAACAAAGGGCAGAATCACTTTTGAATACTTCCCAACAATACAAGTGTGAATGTCATTGTTGTGGATTAACAACATCAAATGGCGCTCTCCAAGTTATTGCCAAAGGTCCACCCTTCGAGCTGCACCTCATTTTGATAACAACACTGAGGATAAAAAGGGGCTAACTGTTGGAAATACAGGGATGTGATCAAGAGACGCTCAACTCCATCACGGAAGCTGACCAGTCGATGCCAAAGGTCCACTCTTCGATCTGTACCTCATTTTGCTAACAACTCTGGGAAAAAAGGGGCCAACTGTTGGACATACAGGGATGTGATCAAGAGACGCTCAACTCCATCATGGAAGCTGGCCAGTCAACGCCATAGCAAAGATGGAGAAATGGATCCTCAACAAGTGGCAGAATCGATGGTCCCTCAGAACAAAGGGCAGAATAACTTTTGAGTACTTCCCAACAATACAAGTGCGAATGTCATCCTTGTGGATTAAGCTCAGCTTTTGCCTCTCCCAGTTCCTGAGTGGCCATGGAAACTACAGGTCATACTTACACAGATTCCACCTGTCACCTCTGCAATCTGCGGAAGGTGCCGTCACGAACCGGGATACATGTCCATATTCCACTGTGCACAGTACAAAACCCACAGAGAGCTGCTGAAAAAAATGTTCCAAAGTTGGCCAACAGAAAAACATAGGCTTGTTATAGACAAAAACCTACAAAATATTCCACAGGGTTGTGACCGACATATCTTCGAAGAAGAAGCAAAGTAAAGATTGTGAAGGTAAAAAATGAGGGAGGAACTAATAAGATTTAGATTGTAAAACAAAAGGGAAATCGGGTTGTTTCTCTCATTTAGTTTAATATTTACATAAAATTTGTTGGGAAAAAAGTTTTAAATATGCATATTGTACATAATATACCTATACGTAAAACCTCCTATTTATATTATCTATTTAATTATTGACAAAACCTATACGTATACACATTTGAGAGAGAAACAAAAGGGGAGTACCCATTTAGTTTATTTAAATCTCAATTTTAAGTCCCTTTCCCCTCCTAATTCCTCAGGAGGAGGGAAGTTTAATCTCAAAAAACAAATCCCATGTGTCCTTTTGAATTAAGTTTAGAGCATGGCAGGTCTGCCGATGTAGGCTATGGTCACCTAGGTATGGTGGGGAAGGAGGAGGGTTAAAAAAAATGAAATTTGACATTATTCTATTAGACATCAAAGCCTGTCCTGTATAAAACTATAATAGAAACGACCACAAACTGCACATTGTTGAATTTTTCTTTTTCTCTTCGTTAACTACATGAAATTTGCATAGCGAAAGTAATAAATAATCGAAGTTCTTTGACGATCGTGGCATGTCCTGCTGTCGACATTGAAACGGCGAGCCAGCGAGAACGAAAAATTTAAAAAAAATATAAATAACAAATCTTTTGGACTGATGAAGGGGAGAAATGCGAGGAGGGAAGATGTATGTCTGCCAGGACCCTGTTTTCGTCTCCTGCCTCCCCATGTTCTCGACAGGACCTCGACCGCAGCTCCGAAGATGGGGAAGTGTCGGCTCGTGGGTAAGTAAAGATGTCTCAAAAAGATTTGAATAAATGGACCCCCCTCTATTTGCTTTCACAGCAAATTTGCGATTTTTTCCCGAGTTCCAATGTCCAGTTTTGTGCGGCAAATGCATACAAGTTGATTTTTCATTTTCCTATTTAATGTCTGCCATGGAAACCGATCTTTTCAAAGGATCTTTAAATTCAAATTTTCAAATTTGCCATCATTCCGATAGAGCAAGGGTTCAGTGTTTGAGGCCATTCACACAACAAGCTCCATTGAATAATCATCACAAATCGCCTTCCTCCGTGTCGATTCCAATCATTCTTTATAAACACTTGGCTCTTTAGCACTCTAAGAAAATAAATATGAGCAGCTTTGTTGTCTTCTTTGTTCATGTTGAACCATTAATTATTTAGACGCCTGTGGATCATGAGATGATCGAGCTGAACAACTCGACCGTCTCGCAGGCTGATGATTACACAAAGAGAAGACATGTCTTTCGCCTGTCGACACCGTCGTCATCTGAGATCCTGCTGCAAGCGGAAAGCGCGGATGAGATGACGAGATGGATATCTGCCCTGTCCAAGCACGATGCCTTGCAACAGGTACAGATTCAGTCGATTTTTTCTTGTTCTTTTTAAAGATTGAAAAATTCGTAGGTGCCTACTGGATCCTTGCAGAACGTATCGCCTGTCACCGCCCACAAAGGGTTGATGAAAAACATAACGACAACGTTCAGGAACCGCTCACCCACTGGTCAGTTGCCTGTCAACAAGAACAGGAAGCCGAGTCAGAATGAAGTGCCAGTCGGTACCGCCAAGAGCAAAACGTGGAAGGTCAGGGTGGCAAAGCAGCTGAAGAAAATACAAAGTGGTAGTGGTTCTCCTGTCTCTCCAACGGCTCCGATCTCCTATCAGGAAGGTGCTACCATCGGTGTACCTCTTGAACTATGTCCAAGGGTATGTATTAATAAATCTTGTGCTATTTGTTTTTGACTTAAATGTTTTTTATTTTATTTCATTTATTTATTTTATTTTTTCAGTCCAAATGCAACGAATTTGTACCATTGCTTGTTGAATTATGCACTGGAATTGTTGAAGAAAGAGGCCTTGATATAATCGGCATTTACAGGTACTTTTAAACATCTCCATTTTTACAAGCTTTTTAATTTGATATATTTAAACAATTTCTCTCATTTCAGAGTACCAGGAAATACAGCTGCAATAACATCATTGACGGATGCTGTCAACAAAGGCTTGAAGGAAGCCTTGATGGACCAGGACCAGAGGTGGTCTGATGTTAACGTGATCTCATCGCTGCTTAAGCTGTTCTTTCGTAAACTACCAGATTGTCTTCTGACGACTGAGCTCTATCCAAACTTCATCAAAGCCGACAAGATCGAAGACCCAAAAATGAGGATAGTCTCGATTCGGAAGTTGGTCCACGAGCTGCCGGACCACCACCACCACACGTTGAAACACCTCATGATGCACCTCAAACTTGTAGTGGAACATTCGATCATAAACAAAATGGAAGCGAGAAACCTCGCTATCGTCTTCGGGCCCACTTTAGTCAGAGCCGCTGATGACAATATGGTCACCATGGTCACCGACATGTCGCATCAGTGTCGCATTGTAGAGACATTGATTCAACATGTATGTTTTAAGTTTTCATATTGTAATATTTAAATTGTCTGTACTTTTTATAACAAGTCCATTTGCTTTTATTTCAAAGGCCGACTGGTGTTTTGGGGATGAAAGCCTGGACAGGCTTAGGCTCCAAGAGGCGCATGACAATGGAGGCCAAATCCTAGAATCCGACTCCGCTCTGCCCAACCAATCACTTCTCCTCGGAAACGTCCACAAACTCGAAGGTGATTTACAGTTACTGTTATTAGTTATTGTTTAGGATCAGCTCTTTATTAATATAGATTTTATACAAATTTGAAAAAATGTGGGAAAGAAAAAACTGTACAGAAGGAGGCATCATTTCAGTTATAAGAGAAATGGTGTCCACGTTGGCTTGGGGGTTTCCTTAGTCTTAATGTTTCGTGTCCGAATGTTTTAGTGTAAACAAATAGATGAGCTTTCTTAGTTGCTAGTTTAGATTTTTTTTTCCAAAAAAAGGACTCCTCACATATATTTTTAAATCACTGCATTCAGTTGAATTTTTCATTTGAACACAACAAATTTTGCACCAAATTAACCAAGAAAACGGGAGTTACAGTAAGTTTTGAATGAATGAAATGTATGGATGGATTAAAGATTTTTGCCCACTAGAACATATCATATTAGGATTGTAAATGTACTGACACTCAAAAAAAAAATCTTTGCATCAATAACATTGGAAAATACCCATTAGTCCAATCCGTCACCAGCTAACATCGTTGCATGCCATGCCTGTTCAGTCAACAATTTGCCGGCCAGAATATTTTGTAGGTGACAGCACAATCCATGTATGATACACAATATTGCCAAAACTGTGTATACAAACAGCCCTCCATGTTGTGCGCCAACACTTTTTTTTTTTTGACATTTCACATTTCTTTGAACTATAATTTCACAAATTTTGTAATATAATTAATTTTATCTTAATAATTAACATTAATCTTATATTCACTATTTTTCGTGGTCCTCTTGACCAATTAATATCATTCAATTAATTGAGCTCACGATAGCTCAAGAGGTAGAGTAGCGGCGTATCTAGCCGAAGGTCTGGGTTCGAATCCCGCTCATGACACTGACTTTTTTATCTCAACTTAAAACCTTAATTAATTGAATGATATTAATCTTATATATAATTAATTTTATATAATCAATCTTACATAATTTATAATTTCATTAATTTTTTTTGTTTATTTAATTTGGAATATTCAAAAAGATCAATTACCTATACTCGAGTTGAGATTTTAAAAAATTGAAAAAATAATTTATTTATGATACTTACCGTATAACACACCACTTATCGTTCACAATCACAAGTTGTAGTGTCCTCTCAATGAAGCGTCTGCAAGAAATGTACAGCGACCAGATCTGAACTAAATTGAGACCAAACAAGTACACTATGGTTACCATATCCATTGTATACGGGTATAGAATGTCGTTGAATTGGGGGAACTTTTCTCGTGCCTGGCACTGTCATGTTGTGATATTTCTAGTGGGCAAAGACCTTACAAAGGTCATCATGGTGGTCATTTATGCACCAGTCAATTTTTTTTTTTTTTTTATTTACTTCATCTTTATTTATTTAGAAAAATGTTAGGAATCAAAATCTCCAATAAATTCCCATATTTTCTCAAGCCTTGTGAAAACATTTAAGCAATGCAAGTTTCAATAAAACTGAAAACTTACTTTATTTTCTTCTATTTCAAAAATCATGCGTAAAATAAGTAAATATATATTAAAGCGTGTTCAAATAAAGAGCTGTTCTTTACTAATACATGTTTATTTTTTAAATTAATTTTCTGTGTATTTCCAAAATAAAACGAAAGACGTAAATAGTAAACAAGTAGGGGAAGATATATTCCTCGATTTTCTATAATTTTTAAAATGCATGTGCCAATGGAGTGATACTTTTTATATATTTTCAATGTTTTCTCTTTGCACAAACCCTCTTGAGATGTTTTCAGAAGATGCACTTTTGAATAGGTGTTTGTTTTCATGTGACCGCCGTCGATACGAACCACAGCTGATATTCATTCCATGTGCATGTGCATTTTCAAAATTATATGTGCATTCGATTAGGATTTTGTATTTCAATTTCAATTTACTATACGAATCCATGTGTTGTGTTTCAAACGAAACGCAACACTAACCAATTCATATTGCTATTGTTCAAACGTTTACGGCTTTAAAATAAAGTAAAATGCGCTTTTCCGTAATGTGGCTTCTATAAAGTTGTGATCTATGTGCTGTGCATGGAGTTTGCGCGGTTTCTGATTGAAAAAAAAAAATGTCTAATATTTCAACTCAAAAGCAGAGGATACAGACGTGGAACACTGATTTCAATGAATTTTTTGGGGGTGTCTAGATCAAAAAATATTAGATATGTGTATGTGTGCATTCTTGCCAATGAACCGTAGGAACCTAGAAAAAATATTTTAAGTAAAATTTTAGAAAATTTAAGTAATTTTTTTTAACTTTGTTGTGTATATATTTCAGCATTAGTAATTATTATATCTCATTTAATTTGTTTTGTTTATCATGATAAGAAAATATTATGCAAGTTCATATTAAATGAGACTAGATATATGAAGTCAAAAAAATTCTAGTAAAGTAGGTAATAAAAAAAATGTATTTTTTGAAGGAAAAAATTAATTTATTCTAAGCATCCTTTAAAACATTTAAGACGATTTTCATTGAAATAATCAAATAGAAATTTATGGGCAAGATTGTCCAGGGCAGGGGAAAATTTTTTTTTTCTCATCAATGTCCGGAAAAATTCATAAATCTATTGGAGTTTTCTACTTTCAACAATATTTAAATTTTGACATTATAAGTGAGAAAAATAAGGATAAAATACAAAAAAAAATTCTTCAAAGTTTTTATTTTATATCTTGAATAATTTTTTGATGGCGGCCAAAATTGTGCCATTGCGTGTGTTTCTAGGGTCCTAAACCACTCTAATGTTTTCTATGGATACATGGAAACCTTTCAAAGTTACCAGCTTTTTGTGATTTTCGAGAGGAAAATCAGAGGGTTTTTTCCTGGCTTCGTGCATAAAAATATTAGCCTCAATCAGAGATATTAGAAGGCCAAATAATTTGAGGGTGGAAATTGCACATATTTTATATTCAGGGGTTTTTCGTGTGCAAAAAATGCCTATTAACTTCAATTTTTGCTTTAAAAACAAAAATTAACCTACTTTGATACATTGCTGTCACAAAATAATAATATATTGTATTTCAATAGATTGCTTGATTCGATATATTTTTAGTTTGTTTTAAGGTTAATTTTTTTAAATCAAGAAACAGAGTTATATGTTTTCTACATTCCTTCAAAACACAATAATACAATTTTTTGGGAAAATAAGAAAATTTCCCCAAATTTTTTGCTTTACATACCTCCATTTTTTTTTTTTTTTTCTTCTTCAACACGACTCCGTTATCTACAGTAAACTTTATAAGGAGTAAGAACCTTATAAATTACAAGTAAATGTATAATTTTAGTCTTCGTCAATAAATTAGAACCAGAATATAAAATATGTCGTTTGAGGTGTTTTTGTTGATTTCATTTTTATTGTTTCGCTGTGGCTTGCATAAAATCTAAAGTCTCTGTTTTCAGTATTAGAAATATCGACCACTTTTTCACTCATGAACACTCTTGATCAAAGTCTTTAAGATGAAAGCAAATTCATCTGTTACTGCCAAGCTTTCAATCTATTTAGGTTATCATCAAGACAAAACAATTTTAAATATGTGTACAGATTGACATATTTAAATTTTTTTACAGGCGATTTCAAATTTCCTTGAAGACCGACTCCGTCCCAATATTGCCAAGAAGTTTAGCATTGGCAGAGTTGGGAGTCAAATTGTCTTGATTCTTCAAGGAAATTTGAGTTCACCTGTAAAAAACTTAAATAAGTCAATCTGATAAATCATGATTTAAAAAAAAATTGTTTTCCAAAATAAGACATATTTGGCCTACTTTACCAGAAGAATTTTCTTTTTTGAAACTTTTTAAATATTTTAGCCTCATTTAATACAATCCTTTGTATTATTTTCTTACCACATATAACAAAGCAAATCAACTCATATATGAAGGGAACCGTGGAAAAACGATGAGGGTCCATTTTTTTGTCAGAATCGAGATTTCACCAGCATCTGTTGGCTTGTGTCATGAACTATTAACTTGCCAAATGTTGCTAGGGAAAACCATTTAGATTCCACTAAAAATCATGTTTCAAAATGGGCGGCACAGTGGAAGAACGATGGGACTCCTGGGTACCTAAGAAAGAACGATGAGGCTTCATCTTCTCCAGCATTTAAAATAAGTCAATAATTTCGTGGTCCGCTTGACCAATTAATATATTACAATTAATTAAGGTTTTTAGTTGAGATAAAAAAGTCAATGGCACGATCGTGATCGAGGTCATAATAGCTCAAGTGGTAGAGCAGCAGCGTATCTAGCCGAAGATCGTGGGTTCGAATCCCGCTCGTGCCATTGACTTTTTTATCTCAACTAAAAACCTTAATTAATTGTAATATATTAATTGGTCAAGTGGACCACGAAATTAGTGAATTTAATTATTTAAAATGAAGTATACTTCACTAAAGCTCTCCGTGGCCATTTCATTTGTCATCGAGAATCCAATCCGATTACACTACATTTGAAAAATGGCAAAAAGGAGGGAAAATTCAAAAGGTGGGGTTGAGATGGGAAGTTGGTGTCCGAGTGGATCGAGATCACGATAGCTGAAGTGGTAGAGCAGCGGCGTATCTATCCGAAGATTGTGGATTCAAATCCTGCTCGTGCCATTAACTTTTTTTCATCTCAACTAAAAACCTTAATTAATTGTAATTTAAAATAATATTATTTTAACAACATATTAACAGAAAAATTCAGCCATGCGTAATGTAATGACCAACAATGTTTAATACAAGAAGCAGTTTAATTTATATTCTTTTCTCGCCACAAATGAGGCTGTTTTCTACACTTACGATGAAAGTGTAGTGCGCAAGGGGGCAGATGAAGTTTGCTCTTTCCTTGACCGTTTTGTCACCAAAATTCTTCCACAAACAGTCAGAACGCTTATAATTTTTTGTGATTCATATACAGGGCAAAATAAAAATTATACCGTTTTGCGATTCCTCGACCATCTCGTGCCTCATTCCTATTCACGATCCTGTGTATTATTTTTTTACCATATATAACAAAGCAAATCAACTCATATAATATTATAGCCTGAAAAAACATGCACAACACAAAATTCCATATTTAAAAAAAAAATTAATTAATTGCTTAATTTTTTTCTCAGCCCCTAAGGCACATTGGCAAGAATGCTCGTATACTAGTCTAATATTTTTCATTTTAGTTTAAAAAAAAAAAAAAAATTAAAATTGGTGATCACACGTCTGCAGCCTCCCCATACAATTTGAAGATTCCTCACTTTTAATTAGAACTTAAAATTCTTTGATCGAAACTTTTTTAATAATTACATTTTCGTTTCAATTTCAAATTCTTGAATCCCAAATGTATGAACAAAAACGGGACATCATTTACAGACGTAATGAAAGTCTCTCCTAACTATGTTCCCAATTAATTGAAGGATCGATGCATGAGTTTTATTTTCATTTCTTTGTTTTCTCCAATGGGTACACAAACACAGGAATGAAAGGAGTAATGGATGTGAGTAGGCGTGATATCGTCACATCAATCATAACAGCGGCCAACAAGAAAATGAAAGGCAAAGCGAGGAAACAGATTTCGTCCACATCAGAAGAATTACAACCAGATGTAAGTATGCATAACTATTGAAAAATATCCCTTCCTGCACTCGCTTTGAGCATGTAAAGGTTACTACTTTTCTTACTTTAAAAACAAATTGACTTTTAGCAAATTTTATTGACAGTAGCATTAGTAGTAATATTGTTAAATTAAAAATGTAAATGTTATAGGTTGGATTTTATTTTTTGAACAAATGGTGGACTAATTATTTTTATTTTTTAACCGATATTTTCCAATTTTTTTCAACAGAAATATTTTATTTTTATTTTGTTTTTCTGCCAATTATACTAGAGGTTTCTCCACTGTTTTTTCGCTTTTTTTCCTTTTGAAATTTACTTCTGTTAACATTTATTTATTTGTTTATTTAAATATGAATGTTATTATATTTCAGAAAGGTGACAAACATAAGGATGGTAATAGGAAGGGTAGTGGTGACGGAATAGACGGCGAAATGAAATCTGTGGCCTGCGCCCTTGCCTCCGGTGTCAGGGAGACCGCTATGTTCTCAAAGTCGATGATTGTAACACCACAGCTCGATAATGGTAAGTGTTCAGCTATGTCAAATTTCAAATTCGACGAGCATTAACGTTCTCACCGTTTCAGTTGAAAAAGAAGTAGAGGAAAAGTGCATAGAAACCGCGGCAGTTAAGCCGCCTACGTCAAACGATGGGACGATTGTGACGTATACCGGCTTGTCGGAAACAACCCAAGAAAGAATAAGAAGGTAAACTATTTCTAGTCCATTTTGAAATTCCATAAAAACGTCACATAATATTTCTTTGTAGATCAATCAGAAAATGACTGTTTATACCAGTTGTAAATTTTAGTTTTTGTAAATAGTTGTGCTTAATCTGGTAGTAGTGATATCCCTTTCCGTTCTACTCTCTTATTAAATACCTCTTTAAACAACTCTTCTTCATCACTAGGTCTTATGCCTGTCCCCATACCCGCTCCCTCTGGACCCTCATTCAGTTCGTCTAACTTCTATTTCTCCTATCTAACCCCAGCCGAAGTCCTCGAGGCCATTTCCAAATCCATACCAAATCCCACTGTAATGCCATTGGAGTTGATGGCATCCCTATCCATTTTCTTAAACTCTGCCTTCCAATATTACTACCTGTTCTACTTCACATCTATAACTACTCACTCCAAAATTCTGTTTTTCTGACAGCCTGGCAAAAAGCTCTTGTCCACCCTGTCAATAAAACCCCCAACCTATCCTCGCCTACAGACTACCGTCCCATTTCCATCCTCTCAAACCTGTCCAAGCCCCAAGAAAGATTAGTCCAAGCACAAGTCTCCAGGCACCTTGAACAGTCCCATCTTCTCAACCCCCTCCATTCTGGCTTCCGCCAAGGTTATTCCACCCAATCAGCACTAATAAAAATTACCAGGACCTCCACTTAGCAATGGGGCCAACGGAAAGTTACTATACTTGTCCTTCTTGATTTTTCTAAAGCCTTCGATTCTATCCCTCACTCTTCTCTCCTCTCTAAACTCGAATCTTTTTCCTTCTCCACCAGCACCATCCGTTGGCTCCACTCTCCTACCTTACCAATCGCCACCAAGCTGTCTCCCTTCCCAATGGCCTTACCTCCTCCTTCCTCCCTCTAAAATCTGGGGTGCCCCAAGGCTCTAGCATCTCTCCTGTCCTTTTTTCCATTTATATCAATGATCTGCCCGATTCAATCCAGTCCTGTAACTTATCACCTATATGCCGATGACTCAGTTTCACTCAGCCATTCTCAAGATCCAAAAAGATCTAAACTCCATCAACGAATGGGCCCATAAAAATTCCCTAGTCCTCAATCCGTCCAAATCCACCGCCATAATTATCAGGTCCAGGCAACTCCTCAATTCCCTCCCCAGCATCCCACCTCTCATGCTAAATAACCATCCCATCCCTTCTGCTCTTCGGTTAAAAACCTAGTAGTCTTTGACCAAAACTTTTCCTGGCATTCTCACATTTCCCAAATTTCCCGCCATTCCATTGCCTCCCTCAGCCTGTTTCGTCGGTCCTGGCTTCTCTTACCTTTCTCCACCCGCAAACTCCTTGTATCTTCCCTTATACTTCCCTTCTTCGATTATAGCTGTTTGGCATACGGTGGTCTCTCAGAGGGGGAGAACACGCGATTGAAGCGTATCATGAATTGTTGCATAAGATTTGTGTACGGCACCCCACGGGGATCCCGGGTGTTGGGGTGGTATTCCCAACTTTCCTGGTTATTCCCCTCCTTCCATGCACAGTATTTCCTAGGTTGCTTTCTTTTCCAGACCATCCACACTTGTCGTCTTCCTTACATCATCCAATCCCTCCAATTCAACTCCTTACATCTCATTCGTAAGACTCACTCATCCCCAATCGACCTTATCCTTCCGCAACATACAACCCATACCTTCAAAAGATCATTTCTGATCCGAGCCCCTAAACTCTGGAATTCCCTTCCCCTTTCTATTCACGCTGCCTCCTTTTCCTCCTTTAAATCCCACCTGTACATTCACCTTCTCTCCCTCCAACCTTACGTTAACATTTGTTATTTTTGTTTAATATTCTCGTAATTTTGTCTTCTGTCCTGCCTTATTGGTATACATTGTGCCAAGATTTCTATCTTTTTTTTTTACTTGTAACTACATAGAAGGAACTTCCTTTATTTATTTCATGTAAATTATTCTTAGGGGACACCAGTCCCAGAATAAAGTTATTTTTCTTCTTCTTCTCTTTTAAATTACTTCTCTTTTCATTTTGAAATTTATTAATTATTTTATTAAGTTGTGCAAGTGCTTTCCCTTATTTATTTACCTGAGAATTATCCATCCCGAGAACGTTTGCCAAAGCTCTTAGCTGTAGACAAACTTGGACCTGAAATTGCACTTCTAGAAACGCTACAGAAAAGGAATGGACCTTCTTGATCATTCTCGGGTTGAACTTTAATTATTTCATTTTACCTAACTATGTAAACCTCCCTTTTGATTTATTTTTATTTAAATTCCTTCTTGTGTTTGTAAAGATATTTCAAAACGTTACTAAACTATTAAATAATAATAAATAATTACTAAATTTCTTGGTGTTTTAAAGGTTTGAAATGGAAACAAAAGCCATGCTTCAAAGGGATAAAATGCTCAACACACAATTTTTAAGACCCATCGCTCCTCCGGGTAAATTAACAATTATACAAAATGCGTTATAAAATATTAATCGATTTTTTTCATTACAGCTATTGGTAATAAAATAGCTGAAAAAGGAAAAGAGGGACAGAAGGCCGACGGCTTAACACCGTTGGACAAGTGGAGGCAGATAACGTCTCCTCCACAAAAGGAAACTGAAGGTGACAAGGCACGGCTAGCTAGGTGCGGGAGCCTCGACTCACTCACCGAATCATACGAGCAGAGTCAGACCCCGATGAACAATAACATAAACGAAGCCAGTAAGTTGAAACATTATTCCCTACACTGTATAATTTATAATAAAATTTCAAAAAAAAGAAAAGAAATTCAGAATATTATGATTTATAGCGTGCAAACAATATATTCATTGTCGAATCCCGCCTTGGAACCATCGGCACTGACACAAGGTAGAATTTGTGTGGTTAACAGAAAACAACTGAAAAAAAAAATAACCATTCTTTAACATTCTTGACACTTTTCTTGTACTTTGTGTGTTTTTATAATTTATTATTTTAGAAATGATATTTTCATTAACAGTTTTGTTTTTATTCATTTATTAATAACATTCATTTTATTACAAAAGTTTGTTAAACATAACTATACAAATATCTACCACTTTTTCAACACATACAAAATTAATAAATAAAAGTTAACATTTCTATTATTTTTACATGGGGAGGCAACAGGCTTAGAATCATTGATTTTAATTAAACTTTTTTTTGGTGATGCAAGGTTAAAATACGTTTTCAACAAATATGTAACCTGTTTTGCTAAGTCACTCAGCCACTACATCAAAATTATATTTCACAGGTCTAGCATGGGCATTGAAAACAATTGACATACAGAATTTGTGACCAAGCGACATAGCAAAGTAGGCTAAAATAATTATTTAGCTAGATATAGAAGACAAATTTTTATGAAAAAAAAATTTTATTCAAAATTTTCATCTTTTGATATTTTTCCCCCTGAAAAGACTCATTGCTCTACCAGAAATTTTTCTCACTTTTCTTACGACTAATGGAGTGAAATGAAAATGTTGTTGACTTAAATTGAAAGTAGAAAAGCCAGCTTATCAACTATTGTCATAATTCACTAGTTTCATGGTCCGCTTGACCAATTAATATCTTACAATTAATTAAGGTTTTCAGTTGAGATAAAAAAAGTCAGTGGCACGAGCGGGATTCGAACCCACAACCTTCGGCTAATATCATTCAATTAATTAAGCTCACGATAGCTCAAGTGGTAGAGCAGCAGCGTATCAAGCTGAAGATCATGGGTTCAAATCCCGCTCGTGCCATTGTCTTTTTTATCTCAACTGAAAACCTTAATTAATTGTAAGATATTGTCATAATGTTGAATTTGGAAAAAATCCAGAGGAGTTGTGAATTTTTAAGTGGAACATCATGACACCAGAGAAAAAAAAATCCTCAGCTAATCCAGCTCAAAAATGACTTTTTATATAAAAATTTGTATTTAATTTTTTTTTTAACTTACTAGGGAATGACCAGGTTGGTGAGTCACAGATTTAGACCAAACTTTTTTTGGTGATTCTACACTCCAAAATATTAGACGTGTATTGTCTTGTGGTTTTGATGAAAAAATTTGTGCAAGTTGAAATTTTCAATTTTTTCATATTTTTATTTCGCTGTTCTACTTACATCTACTATGTGACTATATCATTACACAGCTTTTTTTTATGTAGATGCAATAAAAATATAGTAAAAGTTATCAAAGTTATCAATAACCAAAAAATTTCTAAAAACCAAATGTTTTTCAAGTAAACTAGATCATAGAAATTTTTATTCATGAAACTAATAATATATTTCGTTTTAGCACATCTAGAGAGATGACTAATTACAAATTTTTGTTTGAATTAAAATTTATCAGTTTTTTGGCCCCTAATATTTTACCAATTTTTTAGAAATCTCAAAATATTTTATTTAAACGGCTATAATTTAAAAATGGCTAAAAGGATTTTGACATCAAACATACCATTTGAAAGAAGAGGAACGAAGCTTTTTATCAATGTGTGCACTATTAAAATATATAAAATATTTCTATAAGAAAATGTACAAAATAGCAAAATTATTTTTTAGAAATTAGCCTCGGTTTTTTTTTTTTTTTTTAATTTTTTAAAAAATGCACGACAATTTCTTTAAAACCAATTATCAACCATAAAAATTGGTCTCCTAGGTATTGAGAAAAATTATGTTAAAGCTTACACTAGGAATGTCAGTTGTGCAGAAGGTCATTGAAATAATCACTCAAAATTTAATTTACCTGGATTCCCATAAAGATTTGAGCAAGTAGAACGGTGAAATAAAAATATTTTTAAAAAATGGAAAATTTAAACTTAAAATTTTTTGTGAAACTGTAACCTTAATCACAAAGTGGCGGATACATGTCCGATATTTTGGAGTGTAGAATCACCAAAAAAAATTTGGTCCAAATGCGTGACCCACCAACCTGATCGTCCAACAAACATGTACAAGAGAAAAAAAATTAGATAGAAAACAAATTTAATTCCTCTGTCCTAGGACCAATGGCATGAACGCACAGACACATTTTTAACCTAAATATTTTTAAATATTTACCTAAAGTATCACCAAAAAAAGTTTCATTATAATCACTGATCACTTGTACATAGTTTCTCTTGTTTGTTTATTTTAATGTAAATGAAAACAAAACAAATATTTTTTTATAATTCATTAAGCTGTCTACTTTTGTTATAGCCATGTATTTTAAGTTTTTTGTGTAGTTTTGTAACAATTTAAATATTAATGCTTTATATGGAAGATAAATCACAATTTACACATTATTTTCCCAAGCTGGCCTAATCACTCATCTCACATAGCTTGTAATCAAATTAAAAGACATTTTCATTTCATGAATTTCCCAAATACTGACGACCTCAACAGTAAATTTGCCAATTTTATTTATAGTTGTCGGGGGAGTTGATCTTGTATCAAGTCTGACTCTCACATTCGATGCAAAAATGAAATCATTAGGTCTCATATCACCGACCGAAGCCGCAAATGGAGAAAACTGTGAAGAAAGCGAAGATGGGAAATCATTTCGGGACCCTTCACTCCACCGAAGTTTTACATCTCCAAATTTAGAGGTAATTTCTATAATAAAAGTTAAATGTTTTCCATAAATTGTCTTTAATTCTTATGTATTTGGTTTTACAGTTTAAAACATTAGAGCTTCCAATTGTTGGAAATTTAAAAGAAGAAGAAAAGATCGAAGTCGAAAAGGATGACGAGAAAGAGAACCAAGTTATCAACGGTGGTAAACTCAAAAGATCCGAGTCGTTCAATAAACGGGAAGAGAAGAAAGACAATAAGCTTCTTAGACGGAGTGAATCGTTAAATAAGAAAGATTCAAGTATGAACAAATTAAAACGGTCCGATTCCCTCACTAAGACGGAAAAGACAGACCTGAACATCTCAAAGAGGAAGCAGGCGCTGGAGGCTGCGACAAAAAAGATGAAAAGGAAGACAGGAGGAGGAAGCGAGAGGTCGATCAAGCGCAGGCACACTGTCGGCGGTACCAAAGACTTCGACAAAGCAGCCTGGCTCGACAACAAAGAACGAGAGGTGAACGAAGAAAGGCGAAGCTCCTCCCCGGATCTCTCCGCCGATATAGTCAGACCCATCCTCGTCTTGAGGCCACACTCAGTCATTGCGGACTCCCCTCTCGAGTCCCACATGTGATAGAAAATCTCTTAGATTTTAATAATTAAAAAACTTAGGGAAATAGCACGTTCAGTATTTTGTACATTTAATTGTCGAAAAAATGGAATATTTTTGTATGAAGGCAGGTCACAGAAATTCCAGTGAGACAGCATATCTTTTTGTCTTTTTTTTTCCAAATTAAAAAAAAAAAAACTGTCCGTCCCAAATTTAATAAATGATTAAATGTATTTTTCCCATCTCTGAATGTGTGCGCACTGAACATTCCACTTAATCTTAAAGGTCTATAAAAACCATTAAAATGCGAGTGTTTTTACAACCCCCTTATTTGCGCCCCATTAAAGTTTAAAAACTAACATGACTTGTTTTGTTTTATATTTGTATTATTCCTTTTGTAATTTTTAAGGTATAAAATTGTGAAATTCATGTATTTATTTCATCTCAATCGCTGTGTAAATAATTTTGTGAATAACTTTGTATATAAATTTAGATACCTAGAGTACAAATTTCATTTACCATTTTGGATGACTTTCTTCATGTTATTTTATAATGTACATGTAAGTTTTCTATGTTGTACTAAAATTTGATTTTCATTTTCTGAATATTTTAAAAAGAAAATTTAAAAAAAAATACCTGTGATTCAATTAGGTTTTAAGTTTGTGCAATTTTAAAAGTGTTTGTTTTATTTTTATAATTATTTAAAAACAAAATGAATGAAGATTTGATGAATTTAAAATTGAAGAAAAAACAATTTTTTTTTGAAAATTTCTTCATTCTGTAATATTATGCCTTAGATATCCAATGATATAGGGATAATATAAGATGTATTTTTTCCTTTTTTAAGTTTATTGCACTTTTCATAAAATGAAATGAAGTTGTTTTTCTAGCTTTATGTGGTGGTTGAAAAAAGTTTATAAACAGAGCAATTTTTTTTTTTTTTTAACATGCCTATAAATAAATGAATATTATAAAAAAATTTAAATATTATATTTCTTATAAACACTATATATAATGCTTTTTCTTTTGTGTAAAAATTTTATAAACGTGATACTTATACTTGTTATAATAAAAATAATGATAAATGAAAAAAAAAATTTAAAAAGTGTCTCTAGAATCTCTAATTCAGTCAAGACCCACCGCACTTTACACACTTAGTTGGTCGACAGTTTAGTTGGTAGCTTATTAAGCAGTAAGTATGAGTGTGTACACCCAAGCAATACTTGTCAACTGAACAATTGGATAGGCTGACCGATTCCGTTTGGAACTAAAAAATTGACCATCAGCTTAATTCACAAAGGTGAACAATACAAGCGCACACACTTGTCGACGACCCAATCGGTGATCAACATAAAATTAGCTTGTTTTTGTTCCGTTTTTAATGAGGTTTTTGGTAAATATATTTAAAAAATGGTGAATATTTGCCTGCAGTTGAAAATAATATGCCTGAAATATTAGAAAAAAGTAACAAGGCTCGGAGTGGCATTAATGATGGACAGCTGTAAACAGGTGAAAAACGATATTCACAAACAGTATTTTGCAATAATCCGGATTTTGAGCACTAAATAAACGCTCATCATGAAATTTATAATATAAATTGTACATAAGTGCTTAAAATCAGGATTATTGTGAAAAACAAAGTAAAACCAACCTGTGAAAGTTGAACTATTGTTTTGAAGCCGATCAACAAATATGACTGGGTGGCTGATGTCAACAAAGCACCCAATTTAATGTGGCCTACACTCAGATTAAAAAAGTTTTCATACATTGCAGTGATAGAATTGCACACACTTTCATACTTGGGGATCCAGTGTTTTTGAAAAAAATTGTAAGTATTAAATTCACTAATTTCGTGGTCCACTTGACACCAATTACAATACAAGTTTTTAGTTGAAATGAAAAAAATTTAATGGCACGAGCGGGATTCGAACCCACGATCTTCGGCACAATGATGTCCGAGTGGATCGAGGTCACGATAGCTCAAGTGGTAGAGCAGCGGCGTATCTAGCCGAAGATCGTGGGTTCGAATCCCGCTCATGCCATTAACTTTTTTTCATCTCAACTAAAAACCTTAATTAATTGAATTGTAAGTATGTCGGACTCAAATGCAGGGCCGCTGAATTCGAGCCCAAGACGTTTACTTTACAGTGATGAGCGCCGTGCCAATGCTTAAACCATTGAAGCACTGATGCCTTCACACTTTTCCATTTCCAGTGTTTAAAGATAATGGTTTGTGATAGAAAATTATTCTCCAATTTGCAAATTAAATTTTATCCCCATGATTCTTGAGTCAATTATTATACCTCAAATAACTAATTTCTGTAGACCCTTGATGGGCAACATGGTTTTTTACCTGGTCACTACAGCCTCAAATTTGGTAGTCTTTCACTTTTATACTGAGTTTGAGCTGTTAAACTGCTCACTGTCAGGAGTGAATAGAAAACATTATTCATCAAAGATTAATAATTTACAACATAAAACTCCTTAAATCTTTAAAATGAAGAAGGGAACAATAAATTTGGTAGTGTATAAGGAATTAATTAATGCACTGGAGAAAGTGGATGCAGTTTAAGACGATGATGCTAAAGCGTTTGATACCGTGGATCATATATATATTCTTTTATCCATGTCTGATCTGATGATGTGGTAGTTAGTTCGATTAAGGACTACTTATCTCATAGATTTGTAGGTGTAGATTCTTAACTAGAAAAGGAAAAGCCGCAAGCAAGATCCCACACTAAAGAGCCGTGGTACAGCTGTGGAGGTTGCTTAACAATATGAACCTGCCAGTGAGTTATAAAAAAATATAAAAAAACAATAGATATACTCAGGTCGAGGTGCAAATGTGGCCACCTCTTTTATCCCTATCCCTGTCTGTTAGATGTAGGTTAAATTTAGGGATGGAATTTCAAGCTTATTTATTTCTTCATCAGAGGTTCCCCAGGGATACCATCTAGGACCAATATGTTTCTTCATCTTTATGAATTATGTAAATTCTTCCTTCAATTCTTCAAAATTTTTACTCCTTGTTGATGACATACATAATTCATAGTATATTGTCAAGTAAGATAATGAGCTTTTACAAAAGGACTTGACTAGGTTCTCTTCTTGGTGCTCTGACAATAAACTTATTAAATATTAAACTTAATTATTAAGCTCTTATTAAATATTTCCGAATGGAATGTATTTCCTTTTGAAAACAAAAAAAAACTAATATCTTACCGGGTTTTATATTTCTTAGACGGCTGTGAATTGGAGAAAGTTTCTACCATTACTGACCTCGGGAAATACATGTTCCTTTATAACTCTCTTATAAAATAAGTTATTTTTAGGTCTAACAAAAATTTGTGATATTTACAAACCAAATCTTGTTTTAATGGCCTTAAATTTTAAAAAAAAATTATATATATATATATAAAAAGATCATCAGTGAAGAGAAATATGGCTTCAACCATAATAAATTTCTGAGTTTTGTTTAGCAAAGTGGACAAATTCTATCACCCATCTATTTTCCATTACAATTGTATTCTTCAGTATAATATTTTAACTTATTAAAAGTGAAGAGCATTAGAATGTATTTTTTTAAAAACCATGGATAAAAATAATTCATTAATATTAATTTAAGTTAAATAAGTTTTTTTTTTAAATGATTTTTTGTTTTTATGTTAGGCTGTACTACTGGATCAAAACCAATCATATATGGATAAATTGTTGGTATGTAGCAATACTAACTTTTTCCTTGATTAACTATGAATAACGATGTAATATTTTATTTGTAGGTATGTTTTAATATATACTTATATTTTTTATGATAATGTTTTTACGTTAAAATTAAAAGAAAGGTCCAGGATTTTTTATTAGATTATTATTGAACGTAAATACTCGGTTTGAAAGTACCAGAGCAACGAGGGGGGCGTAGCTCAGATGGTAGAGCGCTCGCTTAGCATGCGAGAGGTACCGGGATCGATACCCGGCGCCTCCAATTAATTTTTTTTCATGAATAGACAATGTACCTTACCAAATTGAATTTTTTTGAACATAATCAGTCTGTATTCGTTTTTTTTTAATTTATCGGTTTGTTCAATAAAATTAGATACTCTAATACGTAATTTGGTCATTTCTGTTATAATAATAATATATTTTACGGAATTATACCAATTTACCAAAAATGTTTAAAAATAGAATATAAAAATACAACAATACAAAAGGAAAAATAAGAAAAAAAAGGAAAAAATTACTTAAGTATTAAACAATATGTAAAGTAAAAAAAAAAATGTTTCATATAAATATACCTAAAAAAAGACACATTTATCATTGTTATTTTAAAGTAAAATAATATAACATATTTTAAAATATTATATAAATAATATTAGAAAACAATTACATAAAAATATGTTGATTAAGAAAGTAAAAAAAAAAAGTATTTTGTGCATATTTAGATGAATTAAATTCAGTAAAAAATTTAATTAGAAATAATATAAGTTAAATATGGAAATATACATACATTGTACATAAGTGCAAGTTAAATAATTTATATGAAAAACATTTTATTGTTATAGAAATAATGAAAGATAATTTAACTTAAAATATACATAATAATTCAAGATTTAACATATCTGAACACTTGACTAGAATGAAGAAAAAGAAGAATTAAAAAATGTAAGATTTGGAAAGTTATTAAGAGAGAGCAAAATAATTGGTGATGGCCAAATTACGGATCAAAATGGTTTCTATAATGCCTAAAGTATTTGAACAAACAGTGTGTAAAAAAAATAACCCCACTATTAATAAATTTAATAGATGAAAACCAGCATGTGTTTATGAAATGTAAAACTACTTTTATGAATTTATTAACTTTTCAACTTCAATTGAAAAAAATTCATGGTAATGAATAAGAGTTTGGCAAATTTCATAACAACTTCCTTTAATAAGCTTTCTAGCGATATACCATTTTCTTTAATTACATTGAACCAAAATCCAAAGCTTTTTTTTTATTGGGAAAAAAGTGGTGGCAGTGTGAAAAATGGGTAGGGGATTAATGTAGTAATACAACAATAATGAAAAATGGCAAAAAGGAGGGAAAACTCAAAAGGTGGGGTTGAGATAGGAAGTTGGTGTTCGAGTGGATCGAGGTCACGATAGCTCAAGTGGTAGAGCAGCGGCGTATCTAGCCAAAGATCGTGGGTTCGAATCCCGCTCGTGACACTGACTTTTTTATCTCAACTAAAAACGTTAATTAATTGTAATATATTAATTGGTCAAGCGGACCGCGAAATTAGTGAATTTAATGAAGTAGTAATACAACTTTTTGTCCTGGGTAAAATTTTTTCCCAACTTTAATTTAAAAAAAAAAAAAATGAAACAAAAAAACATACAATAAACATAGGGAACAACCAAAGCAATAACAAAAAAATCAGACAAAATATCTGCACTAAACAGACCAAAAAAAAAAAGGAACAACAATACAGAAGTTGTAAAACCTAACACTAACCTAATAAAAAAAAGCGCAAAAACAAAGAAACATCCAATTTAATTTGGTTGTTCACTACTTCATTGTCTCTTTTTTATGGATTTTGTTTGATTTTACTATTTTTTGTGCTTTTTTAATTAAGGTTAAGTTTTACATCCGCTGTATTGTTGTTCGTTGTTGTTCTTGAGTCTGTATTTAGTGCAGATATTTTGTCTGATTTTTTGCTTTGGTGTTCGCTATATTTATTGTATATTTTTTATTTGTTTTGTTTCGTTTTTCTTTCTTTTTGTGCTTTTTTATTTTTAAATTTCAGTCAATTTTTGCATCCTTAGGTCGTCCTTCAGTGTTACATCTGGGGCCCCACCTCGTGGGACAACCTACAGTGTTTTAGGTTCACACTAGTTCATACAGTCCACACTGAAAAAGAGAGTTTTTCGTTTTATTTTAAATTTTTATTTTCCTTCTTTATCCAGCCCAAACATCGATTTACAATTCCTTCCTTAACATTTGCTCTATGAATTATTCTTTATGACTTTTATTGCAATTTTAGAACCTTTATAGTACCTCCCCGTAACTTTTATTTGCCAATTTACAAAATTTACAGATATGGTATTTATTCAACATTGTATTATGAACAGTAGATTTGTATTATATAACAATGGCCTTCACCCAAAAGCCTAATGGCTTGTGCTAGGTGAGATGATCAGTCATTCTTTCAAAATAACCATACATGAACTACATATTATTATTTAAAGTTCAAATTGTTACACAAATATTATTTATAATATGTTTTACGAATGATTTTAGGTACATTTAACTACATATTGTTATTTAAAGTTTGTATTGTTACATAAAATATTATTTATAATATGTTTTTTGAATGATTTTAGGTCAGCAAAACTGTTTATATTAATTTTGTTGGTAAAACAGAAGTTAATAGCAATATTACATGGGTTTTTCTTACAAAAGGTGGTTCTATATCTTTGTATGCTGATGGAGGAATCTCAATCTTGGTTCAAGTGGAGAAGTTGTGGGCGATTGATAATTTATTATTCCAATCTTTATAAAATTTAATAAGTAAATTTAATAAATATATCTGATTGAAATTATAAACTTTAAAATATTTATACAAAAGAATGATGGAGTACAATCTAGGTTTTTTAAAATTATTTTAATTATTGTAAGTAATCATCTTTTAGTAGATAAATTTGCATTACCCCATGTTACCACACCATAAGAGAAAAATTGACTGCACAAGTGCTAGATAAATTCGTTTTATGGTATTTATATCAATTATATCTCTTAATAATCGAAATTTATAAAATAATGATCGGATTCTTTTTATTATAGTTGTTATATGCTCTTCCCATCTTAGGTTTTTGTCTATGATTAATCCTAAATATTTAATTGAACAAACTTGTTTAATTTCAAAGCAGTTAGAGCAATTTTTGAACGAGCAATCGCCGTTATGTACTATTAAATTATACTATATTGCTCTCGTTTTGGATACTAAATATAATTAATTTAGTTTTTTCTGTGTCAAATAAAAGTTTATTTGTACCAACTTCGTATTTTATTTATATTTCCAGAGGTTTTTATCATTAATTGTTCATTTGTTTCATTTAATTAGTAAGACGGTGTCATCAGTGATCAGAATTGTGCAGTCTACGTCAAGGTCAAAAATATCGTTTATATAGATCAGAAAAAATAATGGTACCAGGACTGTGCCCTGGGGAATACCATAGTTTGATTTAATTTTGGGGGGATAATGAATTATTTATTTTAACTACTTGCATTCTATCCATAAAATAACTTTTGATCAATTTTAAAGCTAAACCTATTATGCCTTTTTTCTCAAATTTGTTGAATAATATTTCATCGTCTATTGAATCAAATGCCTTGATATTGTCTAAGAAAACTCCCGACAATTTTTTTTCTTTATCCAGTTTTTCATAAATATTATGTATTACAAAGTATATTGCATCTGAAGTACTTTCATGTGTGAAACCAAAATGGTTTTCTGCGAAAAAGTTTTGCTGATCTAAGAAGCCTTTAATTCTTATGTACACACACTTTTCTAATAATTTTGAAAGAGATAACGTTAAAGAGATAGGTCAATAGTTTTCAATACATTTTTTATTACCACTTTTGAAAATCGGCACAATTAATGATTTTTTGAAAATTGTAGGAACTAACTTTTAAGGAAATAACTTATTACTATAATTTATTTTATAATCCCTGGAACAGTGCTTAATAAACCATTCTCAAAATGTTAAGTTCTACAACAGCCTTATGCTTTAAATTGCATTGATGTTAATTTTGCACTTAATAGTTGATAATTGCTTCATACTGCCAACCAATCAAGTTATACCAGCACATGCTAATGTTTCAGTAAGCTAAGGATCTGCATCTGGTTCTTATAATAATACATCAAACAAGTATATTTGCAAAAATATGCATATTTGAAAGTTGTCCAATGAATTCAAATTGATTCTAAAGCCATCATTTATCAATAATTTTTTTTTATTCTTCGCATTGCAAGCAACTAATTAAAGAGTATTTTCCAAATCGAACTAAATCACTGAATTTGCCAGCCAATTAAAACATATGTGAGTTGATTCACATTAAAGTGATTTTGAGATATTTGTTTTATATTATTTTAAGCGTTACAAGTCAATTTACATTGAAGCAATCTTGTTTCTAACTTCCAATATTAATGATTTGTACGATGTCGCACAATGTGTTGAACAGCCCACTGATTTACAGAGTTTGCCACTTTGTCATTTTTTAATATTGTTTTCAAGTTACCAGCTGTTTTCGCTTAGGATGTGCATTCAAAATTAAAATTTAAAGGCATTTCTGAGGTGAATATTTAGTGTTATAATCTTATTGTTGTTTTATTAGTAAGGCATCGCATTTTGTTTTGTATGTACATATTGCACTTGATCTTAAGTTTTGGCGAGTCTCAACTCTCAAGCTATCAGGGATTAGGAACACTCATGTATCGAATGCTCAGGTTTTGTTGTTTCAAACATAATCCACAAGAAAAACAACTCGGCACTGTGGTGAGGCGTTTATTTGAATTTGATTTCTTTTCTGTTTCTTTAATGTTTGATGCTTCACAGATTTTCTAAAATGGGTGTTTAGTAAACAAGTCAGAAGTGATGACTTTCAAATTTGTTTTATATCATTCCACTCAACAATTATGTTTTTTTTTAGTTAGTTAACTACACACATATGAGATGTCTCTTGTTCAATGTTCAATGTCCCACCCCCATTAACTCTGTCAAACTTACACTATTTATTCGACATTTTAAGACTTTTTTGGAGCAAGGCATCATGCGATGGTACCTGTCATTATGTCATTATTGTTTATACAATTTCTATAAAGATGATTTTATTGTTGTCAATACTGTATTCTACATTTATCACAGATTATTGTTATTAATAAAAAAATATAAAAAAATCAAAAAAAAAAAAAATTATTTGGAAATCGTGAGATGCGGTCTGATGTGATGCAGGTTTCAGAAAAACATTTTCTTTATCGTGCCAACGTTTCGATCTTTATTGAGATCATCTTCAGGTCCTGGGATTTACAAACATTGTTTAAATTTAACAAATACATGTAGGATATGGAAAAAGTGAATTTATACAATGCAAAAAATATTTTTTATATTCAATCAAAGTATTTCTACTCACTCAAAGTGTTTGTTTTCTGCGTAATTGTGCCCTTCTTGCACTGTCAACATGACACTTCACAAATTCACTTTTTTCCACATGCTACATGTATTTAAACATTTAAACAATGTTTGTAAATCCCAGGCCCTGAAGATGATCTCAATAAAGATCAAAATGTTGGCACAATGAAGAAAATGTTTTTCTGAAACATCACATCAGTCCACATCTCACGATTTCCAAATAATCACAGACTAACGGTCACTAATCACCACACATAAAAAATAATATATTAAATTATATAATTTTAAACCATTATAACTTTTAATATGGATTAAAATAGTACAGCTATGTTTTATGACAAAGGCAATGTTTTCCTCGTCTAAGTAGTGTTTTGTACAAAAAAAAGTGCAACATTAGTTTGGTTGTTTGTGATCATTTTGGTCTAGCTATCGTTGCTATTTTGGCCTTTTGACATTGGAGTGGTGGCTCTGATCATTATGTTTTCTTATTTATGCTTCTGATTTGTAATCTCTCTCTCTCTCTCTCTCTCTCTCTCTCTCTCTCTCTCTGATTTTTAGAAAACCATAAACTCTGAACAAACACATCCTGTATCTGATAGACCAAAATATTGAGGGTAGGCAGACCAGAATGCACCTCATGAAGAAATCTTACAACAAAGACAGTAGTACAAATTATGAATGATGGAGTGAGTGTGGAGTTCAATCCTTTTTTTAAAAAAAAGATGGTTCACATTAAGTACTTAAGTACACATTATGTAACTTAATGTGAGTAGGAACCCTCTTTTTAAAAAAAAAAGGACAAAGACAGTAGTTTCATATATTTCATATCCAGGGCTTTTGGCATGTCAGTTAGAATAAAATTTAAAATTTAGTGTCGATTTTTTAAGTGGTTAAATCATCTCAATTATGTATTAAAAGTTTTAAATAAAAACAAAACAAAAAAACTTGTAGGCAAGCAGTACTCAAGTCAAAATTTTAAATGAAAAAGATGGCCTATCCTAGTGGATCTATTAAAGTTGCGGAAGATTTAAATAGTGGAGACAGTTCAAAAATTGAAGAAACTCCTCTAAACGTTTATAACAGGACGACATTTTGCAGCAATCTCAAAGGTACAACTAACAAAGTGAAAATTTCCGAATTATTATTAAACTAACAAACAGTGGTTTTTTAACGTACAAAGGGATGGCTCAAGATGAGTTTGATCATTCCAGCCAGACACACTGTCGAAAAATCCTGTTCGAGGAGTCACCGTCAGTCACCGACTTGATGATGATAAGGGAAGAGAGCAACTGTCATCAGGAGGGTATCAAAGTCGTCTACATTCACTCAGGTTTGCACTATGAAACTAACAACTTTTAACAAAAATATATTTTCTTCTTTTGCTCTAGATGATTTCGATGACTATGATGTTGAAGAGATAGATAGTGAATCTGGAGAATTTGAAGAGAATAAATTGGACCATCGACAATCAGCAGATATAACCAAGTCCTGAATGGTTCATGTGTACATTTGTCAAGCCACTAGTGAATACGCTTTTACAACCCTTTTCTCAACACAATAAACATTTTTCAAAAATTATTTTTAAACAATTTAACTGGATTATGAGCATAATTTTGATGATTGTTAGTCATAAAAGACTGTATTTAATATTTTATATTTTGAAAAGTTTAAGTATTTATTTTTTTAGTTGAGATGAAAAAAAGTTAATGGCACGAGAGGGATTCGAACCCACGACCTTCGGGTAGATACGCCGCTGCTCTACCACCTGAGCTATCGTGACCTCGATCCACTCGGACATCAACTCCTGGGGGGGGGGGTTGAGATGGAAAACCTTAATTAATTGTCATGTATTAATTGGTCAAGCGGACCACGAAAGTAGTGAATTTAAGTATTTATGTTATTTAGAAAATGTTTTCTCACATATTTTCTCTAACACTTCATGTCACTGGTGACTTCTCCCTTCCTTCCACTGTGATCTATAAGATTTATTGACGAACTGACCTATTATTCAATTAATTGTACACAATTTTTTTAAAATGAAAAATTTGTGTCACAGGTAGGATTCGAACCCATGACTTTCGGCTTCATTAATTTTTTAATTAGTGTTTCTATATGAAACCGCAATTTGCTTACAATTGGAATAAAATTGGGAAGTCAAAATGAGAAGTTTGTGGCAGGTAGCTCAAGTGGTAGAGCAGCGGCGTATTTAGCCAAAAGTCGTGGGTTCAAATCCTGTCTGTGACACAAATTTTTCATTTTGAAAAAATTGTGTATAATTAATTGAGTATTTATAGAATTAAGTAGAAGCTGATAAAATAATTAAAAATTTAGTATGACCCTACTATATTTCCACAGTGAACTTAAGGTAGTTGAGCACTTTCTGGATTTCTTCTTTGCTAATTTCCATAGGAATCGCCTTTCCAGGCTCATGCTTTGAAGTCACATGTTCTGATGTATGCTCATTTTTACTTAGGCATTTTTCTGTCTCAGTTTTTCCTCTTTTTTTGGGATGGTAATCGAATGAACAATGCCCATAAGAGACCTATTATTTTCTTTAATCCATGCCTGCTGAGAGAGATTTTTGTCTTTCTGGCTGAGACGTTCTTACATGTGTATATCTGTGCAGCTTTTCATCCTTTTGAAGTATTTCTTGTGCCCAGTGTTCTACTGCATGAAGCTCAGCTTGGAAAATTGATAGGCCTAGAGGTTAGAAAGCATAATTACCAAAAATCTTTTGGTACAAAGTCCTCCTGCCCCAGTAGCAGGTGTTTTCACCAAAGGGGATAACACAATTTAGTACATAAAGAATAAAACTAACAGACAAAGTAGAATAAAATGTATTTTATTTAAATATTTGCTCTGTTTGTAACATAATTGAAGAACTAGAAACGCTAATTCATTCTATTAATGGCAGAACAGATATAAAATTATTGTGGAGCTTTGGCTAACAGCTGAAATGTTAAAAAGTTTAAATTAATATCTAGTTTTGCAAAAACGAACCATCTTCATATTGTAGGATTTGTTAATTGTTGTCACTGAAAACATACCTTAAGCTAACAATTGTAGAATGAATATGCATTGCAAAAGTGTTGGCAGTTAAACAGCCTTAATCTGGTTATTATAAAAGTGTAGACCTCAAAAGGGAGATTTTAAACTATTTTATGAAATACTAGATAGACCTATAATTAAAAAAAAAAGTAAAGTGATTATAATAGTCAACAAGACAAAATAGAAGTTTTAATTATGAAAATGATCATAATAATATAATAGTTTCGGGAATTTACACCCATCATCAGAATCTACATTTTAAAAGACATTAATATAACACTGGATGTTAGTATTCTATAACAAATTAAAAAAAAAAAAAAAAGGGAGTTTTTTATATAAAAAATCACAAATTATAAATATAAACAAAATAATGTCCAAAAAATCCATGTAACATGATAAGACTTATTAAATTTCTTCTCATTTCTTCCCACTTCTTTTATATTTTTATATACAATTACGCATTGTGACATACTACTCGTAATTGTATATAAAAATATAAAAGAAGTGGGAAGAAATGAGAAGAAATTTAATAAGTCTTATCATGTTACATGGATTTTTTGGACATTATTTTTTTTATGATTTGTGATTTTTTATATAAAAAACTTTCCTTTTTTTTAAAATTTGTTATAGAATACTAACATCCGTGTTATATTAATGTCTTTTAAAATGTAGATTCTGATGATGGGTGTAAATTCCCGAAACGTTCAAAAAATTTAATGTAAAAATAAAACAGAAAATAAAAAAATAAAAAACGTGGAGGTTTNTTAACTAAAAACTTCCATGTAGTTTTTTAATTTTCTGTTTAATTTTTTCATTAAATTTTTGTTCGTTTTGGGAATTTGCACACATCACTGGGCATCTACATTTTAAAAGACTTTAATGTAACAATTAAAAAAATCATATGGGAAAGTTTTTTTATTAAAAAAATCACAAATTATAAATATAAAAAAGACAATGATTTTTAAAATATCCATGTAACATAAAAATTATTAACTTAATTGTTTTTTATTTTTATACATAATTATGTGTATTATGATATCCTTCTTACTTCTTTTATATTTTTATGCATAATTATGTGTATTATGACAATTTGAATATGTCAATATTTTTAATTATTGTTGTATATATTATTAATTATAATTTTTATTATAACATGGATTTTTTTTAGACATAATCTTTTTATATTTTATAATTTGTGTTGTTTTTTATAAAAAACTTTGCATGTGATTTTTCTGTTTACTTTTTATACATTAAATTTTTTGAACATTCGAGAATTACACCCATTATCAGCATGAATATAAAAGACATTAATATAGCAAAGGGTATATTATTCTACAAAAAATGTAAAAAAAAAAACAAAAAAAAAAAAAAAACAGGTGGAATATTTTTTATAAAAGAAACCCACAAATTATTATATTTTAATTATTCATTATTACTTATGTACAGCTTAATAGCTCTTTTAGAACTGGGTATATTCATCCGTACAAATAAATGGAATTCCCCGTTTTATTTAAATATTTATTTGGAGGACCATTTGTCGTCCTTATACTATAAATAAAAGCTCGATTTATTTCGACATTTGTCGAAAAACGGTTAATTGATTATTCCCTTAAAGCGGTAAAAGGGAAGGCGCTTTTGGTGGATAATTGCTCATGGGGAACTATCTGGACTTTCACATCCGTCTGGGGGTTTTGTGTTCAAAGACCGTGGATGAGAAGGAGCGGAGTTGTCGGCCGGTTGTCGACCCGAAGAGGTCAACGTCCGACAAGGAGCTCAACACGACACCGATTTTCGCAAAAGTGAAGGAATTCTTTAGAAAATGGGTGCCAGGGGGACGAAATTGGCCAGCAGTGCACGTCTCGATGGGAAGACGGCCGTCGTCACCGGAAGCAGTGCCGGCATCGGCAAAGTCACCGCCAAAGAGCTTTTTCGTCTGGGTAAATTAAACTAAATTTAACTTATTTTTTTATCAATTCGGCCAAAAAGAGCGAAATAAAAATCAACACAAAAATATTAATTAGTTATCTTGTATTTGGGTTATTTTTTCCCCTTCTTGGATTCCCACATAACAGAAGAACCGTTTTTATTATACATTGCTTTACAAAAAAATAATTTAAAAAAAATTAAAAATTTTATTTTACTATTTTAAAAATTACTTAATTTTTAAAATTACGGCCGATTATGAGCCAAAACCGCTTAATTCCCAATTAGATTTAAAATCTCCACAATGTAAATCACTAACAAGTGTATTTAATCCTTTAAAAATTCCTTTATTCACTATTGTGCTGGTGCTGAAAACAAATTAAGGAAATGCCCAAAATCAGCAAGCACGAGGATGGATAAAATCAAATGTACACTGCGAGAGTTTTAGATTTGTCTGAAATGACAGTTGTCGGGCATTCAGTGGTACCAAGAGATTGCAAGGTGTACTCACAGACCAGAATTGGGACCCAATTATGATTTTTTAGATTTCACATTCTGAGCTTTTCCACTGCTTCTGAAACGCTTGCAGAAATGAGCCTACAACTCAGAAGAGACCATCATCAGGATTGCTTATTGTTTGCAAACGTCATCGACATTTGACAGAAACTGTAATTTCAGAAGAGTCCCAATTTTCTCTGCATTCACCAGATAGACATCTTCAAGTTTATTAAAAAATAGAGCCTCTACAGCTAATGCAACATTGCTGGAAGGGGTGGTTCAGTTATGGTGTGGAGTGAAATTTCTTGGGAGACAAAAATGGAATTACACATTTTTAATAGGCTGTCGCTTAATGCAGAAATCTACATGACAACATTTCTTGAGGAATATATGGTGGCATTTGCTCCTGTTGTTAGTGAGCAATTTTTTTAATGCAAGATAAAAGAAGTGTTATGCATTACTTTTGAGATGTCAATATTTACTCTCTAATATTTTCTTTGGTGATTGATCAGCCTTCTCAGTTTAAATATATTTTTTTCTTTCCAAAAAGTAGATTGGGGATGAGGACAGGAAGACAGAAGATAGATAGATATAATATTTCAGGGTATGGTGTTTATTCTTATATTTGTTTCAGCTACTCTAGTTCTTAGCAGTTCTCCAATCCATCTAGATGTGGTTTGGTCTACGTATTTTTTCCCCAGGGAGACTTACATTGATACATGAGATGCATTGTCGAAAGCTCCCTCAATATCGAGGAACGCGCAGATTGCTATTTCCTTTGTTCCCAGTGTTTCTTTTAGGTCACTGGTTAGTTGGTACAGTGCAGTTTCTGTTGATCTTCCTGCTCTGTATGCATGCTGACAGTAATGGAGAGGCTTGTTTACCAGTGCTGTCGTTCTTATATAGTTGTCTATCAGCTTTTCAAGGGTCTTTAATAAAAAGGATGTTAGGCTGATTGGTCTGTAGGATTTGGGGGATGTGGGGTCTCTTTTCCCCGCTTTTGGTATAAACACCAACCTTGCCCTAGGCCATGTCTGTGGTATATAACCTAGTGCTAAACTGCTTCTATATATATATGTAGCAGTGTTGGAGTAATTATATCCATTCCTTTTTGTAACAGGATGAGAAAGATTCCATCCGTTCCTGGTGCTTTGTACGGGCTGAAAGTGTTAATCGCCCAGAGGATTTTCTTCTCTGTGATTATTTCAGCTGCTTTCTTCCAATTCTCTTTCTTGGGATTGTCTGCTCTCACATTTTCTGGGGAGATGTTGTAGGTACTGCCTGGAAAATGTGTACTTAGAAGGAGCATTGCTTTTTGTTGCATGTCTTCTGCAACAATAAAAATAAATCTTCGTTTATCGAAGGTGGGTACTACCAGCTATCTGTTATCCACACATGTACCTGTTCATATACTATAACGATTTCTTTTGAAGTCCTGATGAAGGCGATATATTCTGCCGAAAGCTCGACAAGAAAATAAATGTTGTTTCTGTTTCCTGGCCTCATCCCCAATCTACCTTTTGGAAAGAAAAAAATATATTTACTCTCTAAGAAAGCCAGTCCAAATCCCTGATTTGAACCCTATTGAGTACTTTTGGAATGAGCTCGTACGATGGGTAAAACAAAGAAATAACTCTCTTACAACATTAGCTAAGCTGAGTGTTATTTTATTTGAGATATGGGGTGAAATTTTTCAAGAAGTGGTTAAAGGCTTAATTACGAGTATGCTGAGAAGATTAGAGTGTGTAACAAGAGCTAAAAGATATATGTATAATGTAATAACATATTATGTCGGAAGCCCCAATAAAAAAAACATATTAAAGGTTTTTAAGTTTGTTTTATATGTTCATACGCAAAAGTGATTTTTTATAAAAATTTCTGTCCTTGAAGTATTTTTATTTTCACACTAACCAAATTTTTAATAAATACCTCAATTATAAAAAAATACCAAAATTTCAAAGTGTGCTTCTTTTTGTTGGCAGTGGGTCTCCACAAAACTAATAAATAGTTATTAATCATACAAAACTGATAAATAGTGAGAATCATCAACCAATAATAAATAATAAAATAATTTGAAAAACTGTTTTAAAGTACAAAATAAATATATTTATAAAGGAGTAGATTTAAGTGAATGAACTGTTTGTTTCTGTAACCCAAATATGGTCTTTTCCTCTGAGAGATTCTATCAAATGTAGAAAATCTCTATAATTAATTAAACTTTTTCATTGAAAATTCTAGGAGCTCTGTTATTCTTGCAGTCAATTCTCGGCTAGATGGATTAGCGTTTTACCAGCAGCCACCCAAAAAAAGTGTTTTAGTCATGCTGTAAATAAAAATAATGTTAAATGTCTATTTTAACACTATTACAAAAGAACAAATATCTGAATTTTTTTGTAATTAATTGTAATTTTGGTCGGACGAATCATATTATCTAATATAATTAGTGAAAGGTTTAAATAATTAGGGGATGAGGCAAATAAAATACACTAAATAATTTATACAATAATATGAAACAAATTTTAGGTGCAAGAGTGATTATGGCATGCAGAGATGTGAAGAAAGCCGAAGAGGTTGCAGAAAGCATCAAGACTGAACTGTCGGACGAAAGCAACCTTGGCGAACTGGTCGTCAAGCAGCTGAATCTGGGATCCCTTGCTTCTGTGAAAAACTGCGCCGATGACTTGAAGAATACAGAAACTAGTATAAACCTGCTCATCAACAACGCAGGAGTCATGGCGTGCCCGCTAAGCAAGACCGAAGACAACTTTGAAATGCAATTTGGAGTCAATCATCTCGGCCATTTTGTATTTACAAATATTTTACTTCCCAAGATCATCGCCTCTGCACCGTCGAGGATTATTAACTTATCTTCTTCAGCACATGAATGTAAAGAACAAACATTAACGGAAAAAAAATATCGTGTGTGATCAACTTTTTGTTTTAGATGGCGAATTGGTTTGGGATGATATAAACTTTGAAAGAAGGACTTATCGCCCAATTAAAGCATATGCACAAAGCAAATTGGCAAACGTCCTATTTTCCATTGAACTTGCAAGGCAGTTAAAAGGTTAAACTTTGTTTCATTTTACCTCTATTAAATAAACTATATGAAGCTTTTTCCTACTGTCCTACTTTTACTTGAAGTAATGTTGCTCCTGTTATAGATAAAGGTGTCACTGTATATTCTGTTCATCCGGGGGTTGTAAAAACAGAATTAGGACGCCATTTTGACGATACCTATTTTTGGGGTGCTAGGAAGATCATCAATACGTTGTTTTACCCATTCTACAAGACAGCAGAGGAAGGCGCCATGACGACGTTGTATTGCGCTTTGAAAGAGGATGTCGACAACTCTGGGGCTTATTTCTCGTAATGTCTACAAACTGGAAAACTCAATTTATAGTTTTTAATATAAAATTAATTTTACAGGAACTGCAAGATGACAAAAACTTTTGATGACGAAAAATATGCGAACGATGCGAAAACATTATGGGACAAAAGCGTTGACATGACTAAAAAATTCTTGGATATTTCATATACTAACTAAAATATTATTTATATGTATTATTAAAAATCTCATCTTATTTTTAATGTGTTTTGAACGTTTATTGCACCTCTAGCTCATAAAACTATTACTTTTAACATTTATTAATAACAAATATCAATTTTATTAGTTCTTGCTCACATTTTTCATCGGCTTCTGTAAATGTAATGTAATCGTAAAAAAAATTGAATTTGTCAATCAACTTTGATCTTCATTCTAACAATTATAATATATGTATGAAATTCTCATTACATTAAACTATAACTAAAAAGAAAAGTTTAATTCTACTTAAGCCACATGTTTGATGGGCCAATGTGAAGGAGAGGAAACTTTGAATGGTCAAATTGTGTGCAGGATGTTCAACAGATTTGAAAATGATGAAATGAGTACATGACCGTTAAAAATGGTGCAGTTTTATGTTGGCGTACACTGGTAGTGGGATTATTTTATCCTCCATTATATCTCTTTACATTATTCTTTGAAAAACTAGTTTTTAAAAGGTAGGTAGGCAGGTAGTATGGAGAGGTTTAATTTTGAACGCCCTAAAGGACTCATGTATATACAAATGAAGAAATTTTCGAGTAAAATGACTCAGCATCCCAAGATAGGGTATCACTATAGTTTGTATTAAGTGCCATGGCGTAAATTAAAATTTTATTTTACATCCCCAATCCCTATTCACATTACGCTTTACTAACTTGTCATTTTTACGAAACATAAAAACACAACTGTGAGTACCTCGAATGATTTTTAGAAAAAAGTAAAGTAATTCCAGGAGGGTTAACGTCAACTATCTATTGAGTTGATGATGGGTGTTAGTCAACTCATGCTGAACCAGCGCAGGGTCAATAAGTGACAGCGACGGTACCCATTGAGTCTCATGCATAATCAGACAAACCACATTGCAATATTTTTTCCATAGTATTTTCAATTAAAAGGCTGTGGGGGCTAGGCCAGGTTTAGAATTCAGAATCGTTAGTGTGGCACATAAGAGTTGGACCCATCCCAACTTGCATTTATAGTGGGTGTTGGACGGCAAGTTGGTAAAGTTGGAGTTGACAGAGGGTGTGGGCCTAAACTTGGGGTTGATAATGGGTGTTGGTCTACAAGCCATTAAACTTGAAGTTGATGGTGGTGTTGGTCAGTGAGTATGTAAATTTGGAGTTAATAGTGGGTTGGCCTGCAAGTCGGTAAACTTGGAGATGATGGAGTTGGTCTGTATAAACTTGGGGGGTGATGGTGGGTGCTAGTCTGCGAGTCGGGAAACTCGGAGTTGATGGTGAGTGTTGGTTTGCGCGTCTGTGAATTTGGAGTTGATAGTGGATGTTAGCCTGCAAGTCGGTAAACTTGGAGTTGATAGTCTGCATAAACTTGGGGTTGATAATGGGTCTTGGTCTGCAAGCCATTAAACTTGAAGTTGATAGTGGTGTTGGTCAGTCAGTCTGTAAATTTGGAGATGATAGTCGGTGTTGGACTGCAAGTTGCTAAAGTTGGAGTTGGTAGTGGGACTTGGTCTGCATAAACTTGGGGGTGATGGTGGGTGTTAGTCTGCGAGTCGGGAAACTCAGAGTTGATGGTGAGTGTTGGTTTGCGCGTCAGTGAATTTGGAGTTGATAGTGGTGTTGGTCAGTGAGTTTATAAATTGGAGTTGATAGTGGATATTGGTCTGCATAAACTTGGGGTTGATAGTGGGTGGTGGTTCGCGTGTCAGTAAATTAGGAGTTAATAGTGGGTGTTGGACTGCAAGTTAGTAAAGTTGAAGTTGATGGTGTGTGTTGGTCGGTGAGTCAGTAAATTTGGAGTTTTTTTAATATATATATGAGGGTTAGCAACGATAGAGGTCATATCAACCCTCGGGGTGCTGGTGTTTTTTAAAAAAAAAGCACATTTGTAAGTATGTCGAGTTCAAATGCTGGGCTACTAGATTCAAACCTGGGACTTTTACCTTACAGTGTGATGAGCGCCGTGTCAACGCCGCAAAAAGCAGGGTTTACAAACTTAATTGTGATGATTGCAACATTAAATATATGACAAAATGGCAGAAAATGAAAACAAATTTCTGAATTTAAGTACCATCTTAAAAGAAACAAAACCTAATTTAAATTTAAATTACACAATTTCAACAAAGAGAGGGAACTAGATTGGTTTGAACAATTTGAAATACAAAATGTGAACTTAAACATTAATTAAAATTACAAAATATTATATAAAAATCCTAGTTTTAACATTGCATAAATAATATTTGACATATAAATTAATCACTAATTTAGAAATATTTTTTCTTATTTATTAGGATAATATTATATATAGTTGTTTTGTAATTCATGTTTTTCACTGGTTAAAAATTAAATTAAAACCAACTTCTCATTGGAGCGTCGCATTGGAGGTGGATCACAACACAGGGCAGGTTCACCATTGCAATCCATGTTGAGAGTTGTGTTTGTAACTTTGTAACTCGTTCACCCTGATGCAAAAGCAATCACAGACTTGAAGGATGTGTATGCTCACAGCCCATGCTCATCCCTAACTCAGCCTGCAAGAGAAAATAAAGAATGGAGCACAATTTGCATCCATCAACTCCCGGTGCCCTGGCCCATTCGGTGCTTCCCTTATGGTTCCCTTCCAGCTTTTGTAGACTTTGAAAAAAAACCCTAAATAAATAGTCAATAAAAATAAATACCCTCAGTTGATAATAATTTAAAATGATCATTTGAAAGAAAAAAAAAATTAAATGCTCAAAATCCAGATCGTAAACAACAAATCTGAGAGTAGAACCATATCATTTACCAAAAGTGAATCTACATATTCACCCACCTTCATCATTTCTGTTTGAAGTGTCCCGTCAGCAGTCCTACTGTCATTCTAGTCCTAACATGTACTACATGTAATTAATTGTTCTGCCATTATTTTCTGAGATGGTCTTTTGATGAACCAAGGACTTATTTGTAAACCTTTGCCTGATGGACCTACGTTTCGGCAATTTGGCGTGCTATAAAATGATTCGGAGGCCTTTTCTTTTACAAAAAGCACAGCTTTTATTCTTGACGTTGAGATGTTAAAACCATTTGAAGAAAACTAGGTGGATAATCGATGCTGCAGGTTATCAAATAAAAGAGGTGTGCTTTATCTTTGCTGAAAATGAGAAGATAGTCCGTGTAAAATATGATGTGAAATTTTTTAAAACTTTATTTAGGGTCATGTTTAACAAACATCCTTGCCGATGCCGAAAAACCCTGTCTTTTTGGTCGAGTTTTTAAAATCTTATAAAAAGTGTGTGGTGATTAGTAATCGTTAATCAATGATTATTTGGAAATCGTGAGAAGCGGTTTGGTTTGATGTAAGTTTCAGAAAAACGTTTTCTTTATTGAACCAACATTTCCATCTTTATTGAGATCATCTTCAGGGCCTGGGACTGACAAACATTGTTTAAGTTTAACAAATACATGTAGGATGTGGTAAAAGTGAATTTATACAATGCAAAAAATTCACAATTTTTCCACATCCTACTTGTATTTGTTAAATCTGAAGATGATCTCAATAAAGATTGAAACGGCACGATAAAGAAAATGATTTTCTGAAACCTACATCACACCAGACCGCATCTCACAATTTCCAAATAATCTTATAAAATGTCTTTATTTCATTTGAAAGTTCCTACACTCCAGAAATATTTTAGAAACATTACCCCTGCCTTGTTCAGGTTGGCAAGAATTAACCCTTGACCTACCAGACCTTTACAGAATAAGGTAAAAGTGGTTAATGTAAGGAGAAAAAAACTTTTTTCAAAATTCATTTATTTCATAAAACAATTTAGTCAACACACAAATAGTGCACAGCGCTATTTAAAATAGCACAAACTGCACTTATAAAATTAATACCATTAAAAATAACATTGGAAGGCTTAAAATGATTTTAACCCTAATATAACAAACGAATGAGAATATTTATTTTATTTTTTACAACAGTAGACTTATAACATGATAACAGCATACTTCTTTTCCAGGTGAGAAATACTAACCCCTATGTAATTTTGTTCTGGTACCTTAATTTTCTCATTTTGCTTGAATTCCATGTTTGTTTGAGCTTTAAAAATCACACCAAAGGATTTAAAAAGGAGAGAAAGGTTTGAAAAAATAAACAACTACAAAATAATCATTTTTTTATAATTATAATTAATTATCCAACATTACAGATCACAATAGATCAGTTGTTATTGAACAATAATTACAATGCAAAAATTTTGTAAATTTTGAAACTTTTTTTAAATACATTTCGTCCTTTTTTTTTTTTTGTAAGAAAAAAAAGAAAAGAAAATTAAACAATGAAGGATAATGCCAAAATGTGCAAAAAATCCATTCTGGCATAATGGAAAACGATTCAAATTAATTTAAAAGTTGAAATTTTATTCATACAAAGTAACAACTTAACTTTTTGTTTTCATATATTTTTTGGGAACTTTTTTTGTTTCTTTTTCTTTTTTTCTTTTGGAGGATGTATAAAATTTCTCAGGACCATTCTTTTTTTTTTTCTTTTTTTACACTACAACTAACTTATCTAATCGATTTATAAATTATTTTTCTTTGTTTACAATGCTCCTTTTATTCTTTAAAGTCTAAAGGAGACTTTGAAGAAAAGAAAACTTTCAAAACATGAGAATGTAGAAATTAACAAAACCTCACCCCAGCCCCCCAGTTTTTCTTTAAAAAGTCTCTTAAAAACTATAAGCCGCACAAAATGACGCGAACTTCGGAATTCTTAAAAATTATCACTTTTGTTTTATTTAAACATCTTTTCTCTTCTTTTTTTCTTATTTTAATATTTGCTTTCATATTCTTTTCTTTCTTTCATTTTTATAGTCCACTAGCACACTCTTTAGCTCCGCACAAATCATAGAAACAAAAAAAACAGTCAGCCCTTCAAATGCACTATCCCTTCCTAATCCTCCGATCCTCTGAACGACTTTCTCAATAGAAAGAAATCAACATATATTTTTTTAAAAAATTTATAATATATAAAAAATCAAATCTTTGGGACTCTCTGCCTACATTAAAAAAACTTAAGAGCTAAAATAATAACTAAAGTGAGAAAAATAAATTATTTCCCATTTAAATATACATAGCTCCATTTTATTTCTTAAATACACAAAAAGCTTTCTTTTCTTACCTTCCAAACTTCTTGACCTTTTTTTCAACAATATAATCTCTTATAAATTATACACGAACTTTCGCGTCGAAGGCAATTCTTGTTTTAAACATTTATTGTTACTTTTTACATCTTTATCAAGCTTTTTTTTTTTTTTTGAAGAAAACGCACGATCTGTATAAAAATATCTCAATGTACGACACACAACGTTTAAATTACGAGACAAAAAAATAAATACAAATTAAATTTATTACAGTAATAAACAAATTTTTTTTCTCTCGGGAATTTCTACAAAAGTGTAAAAACTACTTTTTTACGGACAGATTTTGAAAACTAAATTTTTTTTATATTCAAAGCGAATAATAAAAATATCCATTAAAAATGAGGTTTCTCCTTTTTTTCTCTTTTTTTAAAATTTTCAATATTAAGTTATTATTTATTACTCCTAAAAACAAACTTGCCCTCGGTATAAAAATAATCTGATTTCTAACATGTATTTTATATAAATTTAATTTTTTTAAACATCGATTGGTGAACTATTTTTAATTCAGACATTTTCACACGTTTATTTTTATTTTCAATATAAGACTTTTGAAAAGTACAAAAATGTTCAAATTTTAACTTATTATTTTAAATTCTTTTAAGGCGTTTTTATTTTTTAATCTACCTTTATGTATGGTGTTACACTAAGCACGCTTTGGAGGTAGTTTATTTTGTTTTAAAACTGAAAAGATATATATTTTTTTATTAAGTTATTACAAAAACGGCTATAAATTCACGAAAATTTTGGAAATCTCAAAAACCTTCAAAATCACAATGAAACATTATTTAATGTATTACAATAATATTGCACCTGATTCCTATTATATAAAATTACAAAAACAACAGTGAGTAAACAAAAAAAGAATAAATAAATAGATAACAAAAAATTTAAAAAAAAATATCTATAAACTGTGATAAATGGAGACACTGCGCGAATTTTCTGCTAAGGAATGATATTTATCACTTTTAGATATATATATACTCATTTTCTCATAATAAATACAATAAATTATTTTAAAATATAGTACTAAAAAGAAAGGTAACAAAACCGTTTTAAAGAAAATTACGAAATAGATACCATAGTTGGTATAATGCACTATTTAATTTAATGAATGAATTTTTATTTAATTTAAATCAATTTTGGAAAAATATATGTAAAAAAATATATATGTTTATATATAATATAACAGAAGATTTAGATGAAATTCAATGCAATAAATTAATTAAAAAATATAGACAGGTGATGGGTAAGCTTAATGACGTTTTGAGAAAAATGTGTAAATTATTTTGTATATTGTGTACTTTGTTTTCTTCTTATTATCACTTCCAAGCTTGACTTATGTATCTAGGAGAGTAAACTGATGATTCTCAATTTGCAGGGGGGAAAATATCAGCAGTCAATTCAAAAAATAAAATTAAAAATAAAAACGAATTTAAGAAACTAACAAAAGAAAAGAAACCATTTTATATATAGTCGCCTTACTTATATTACACTCCCTTAAATTACATTTGTTGCCAGTTTTCAAAGAGGTGAAAAATAAAAACTTCTAAATGGCTAACTACAGGCAAAAACATCTTCCCAAACATTTTGGCAAAGAGGAAATTTCATTTAAAATTATTTTCCCTTACAATTTAAATTTAATTACTTATACTTTAAACCTTAAATTCATTTCTTAACCTAACTTTTCTTAATTTTTTTTAAAAATTTTATTTTCAATTTTTTTTTTAAATGATTTTTATGTATTAACTTCTAATCTTATAACCTAAACAAAACAAAAAATATACCAAAACAAAGAAAATATAAAATCAAATTAAAGAGAGAGAGAGAGAGAAATAGAGAGAGAGAGAGAGAGATAGAGAAAGAGAGAGATAGAGAAATCAATAAGATGCTTCCACATTTTTTCATTCTTTCAGAATTTGTAAAAGGTTTACAGGAAAAAATGAGGAAGAGACACTTTTCAATTATATATTTTTTTTGTTTTCAAATTTTCATCAATTTATTAAACCCTTCGATTATTTACTTTTTAAGAAAAAGCGAAAGTGGAGATAGAGCGAGAGAGAGAGGGAGAGAGAGAAAATTATTCTTGTTTACATGAAGTTAATTATATGTATATATATAATTATTTATTTTTTATAGTCGTTTTTATTACTTTTTCTCTTTTTTTTTTACAAAATTTAAATAGAACACCTGTCAAAACGACCCCTTTTTGAGCAAACAATAATAAAAATTAACATACAAAAAAACAATGTTTTCGTGTTTTAACTAAGATTTTTTTTATATTTATGGGGGAAACAACAAAAACATTGTTTTTTATCTTCACAAAAACAACTAGATAAAAATAAAATTGCTGATCAATTTTAACGGATAAATTCTCCTTTTTTGTAGGGTTATTCTACTCTACTTCTTTTTTTGGCTTTTTCTTCTATATTTTAAATTTTATTTAAATACTTTTGTCTCGGCACTCAAATCTCCCCATTATATTGAAAAACTATTGATCATAAAAAAATAGTAGAGTCCCCTCCTTATATTTCATGACAAGGACTTTATTTCAGACCTTTAGGAGGTTGTAGAAAGTATCCAAAATAAAGATTTTTTTCTTTTTATCTTAGTTACTATGCATTATTTCTACAATGTTAGTCAATTGTTTTTATATCTTATTCACCTAAGGTCTGCAAGAGAACAAAAGCTACGAATGTACGGAAACAAATGCGGTTTGTTCTTTGTAATAATTTTCAGGAAGCAACAGTTAACTGCACCTATTTTTTTTTCTCAAAACAATAATGAATAACTTTTCCCTTTTGGCACTTAGATTTTCTATTATAATTAAATTTATGAATGTGACAGGGAGAGCTGTTTAGCATGAGGAAAAATTGTAAACAACAAGAAGAAAACACAAGGACGGGAACAAGATAAAGAACACCCAAAATGACAATATTTTAATTATTTATCAAGTAAATTACTAAAAGATTCGTTGGAAGACTTTTTAGCACTAATATTCTGCGATGATTTTTAAAGTCTAAAAAGACTTAAAATAAATTAATAAAATAATTTTTTTAACACTATTTTACTTCCGAATATTTACACATTTTAAGTACTAATGGTTATTATTTAAAATAAAATTATTTTAAAAAAATGTGAAATATTGTCTTTAGAGGTACAGTTTAATTGTTGCTATCTAAAAATATTTTTTGAACAGAGAATAAAACAAAAGTGAAGAAAATTACAAACCGATTATATATATCTTCTATGAATTTTTTTTGAAACTGTCTTTTTCATTTGTCATCTCCGTGATTTGTCAAAATAAATTTCTATGGTTGAGGAGGAATCGGTGAATTAGTAGGTGTCCCCTTCGGTCTCTCTCGCTCAAGTTCATTTAATTTTCGATTTTATCCCTTGGTTTATACGTAGAACGTCCGCTTCAAGCTTCCTTCTGTCGTCTCATTACTTCTGCTGCTGTTGGTAAGCATAAGTGTTGTCCGGAGAAGCGGTGTTCGAGTGTTGCTCTGCCTCCTGGATCGGCAGAGTGTGGATTATAGGAGTTGTAGGTCCATATCCGTAATACGGTGCTGGTGTTATATACTGCAATTGAACAACAGTATAATTTTATAGCTGAATTTAGAAATACTGTATTATATTATTTATTTTTACCGTTATTAATATTGTTACAAATGAAATTAAATTTTAGTGCATGATTTACGTGTGCGTATTTTCTATATGGGCTAAATATAAAAAATACTAAAATAAACTATCCCTCTCAATATATTACACATAGTCAGCATTGATTAAATTTATGTTGGATGTCAATAGATAACCTCAATAGAGCATATTTCATGTCAATAGTAAAATTATTACATTCCACTATATACAACACCAATTACACATGCATGGAATAACTATGCACAATTATGTTAAATTATTTAATTTCTATTAGCATCATAACTACTTAATTTGAATATTAAAAATAATTTTTCATTCAAGAATCAATAATAAATAAGGCAATAATTATCTATTTAAGATGAGATTGTTAATTTTATTTGGACATAATGGAGATTTAACTTGGGATATTTGAGAATGTTATGTTTAACAAATACCACAAAACTAATAAGTAATAATTTTACGTTTTATATCATGTTATGTTACGAAAAAAGGTAGCGCGAGTGTAAGACTATGCTTCAGCCACTGTTGCTCGGTTTCTCAGCTCTCATATTTTTTTTTTTAAAGTCTAAGACGTCTTTCAGACAAGGCAGTTGATTCAACTAGTTAAGCAGATGGGTATCAGGGAGTGTAACCCTTTAATAAATTATTACGAATCACTCAAACCTCACAAGCAGTCAACTCAACTGCCTGCAAGTGCCTCTCACACAGTCACCCCGGCTGGTCGACTCAACATAAAACAAATAACTAGGCATTTGTCTTTCACACCAGCCGTTTATTTGAGTCAACTGTGTTCACCAAAGAAAGCATGGTTTCACTGTGGGACATGAAGTGTAAGGAGTATAGTTACAAAATTAAAATGAATGAATCTTGAAGGGAAGTACGACAGTAGTTGTGAGAAGGCACCTGTTAGCAATAGATCAATGTAAACACTTGCTGCCTTTGACGTTGGTACAGAAATGTTTTGGGGGATATAACGGCTTGAGGGTGAGAATGGTTGAATGTAAACAAGTCTTTTGAGGCAGTTTTTTGCAAACACTAAGAAATCTTTTCAAGATAAAATAAATTCATTAATTCCATTAAATTTTGTGGTCCGATTGGCCAAATAACCCCTTTCAATTAATTAATCATTATGCAAGGTTGAGATAAAAAAAGTCAGTGTCATGAGCTGGATTTGAACCCACGATCTTCGGCTAAATACGCTGCTGCTTTCGAAAAATGGCAAAAAGGAGGGAAAATTCGAAAGGTTGGGTTGAGATGGGAAGTTGGTGTCCAAATGGATTGAAGTCGCGATAGCTCAAGTGGTAGAGCAGCGATGTATTTAGCCGAAGGTCATGGGGTTCGAATCCCGCTCGTGGCACTAACTTTTTCATTTCAACCAAAACTTTACATAAAAAGGTTAATTAATTGAAAGAAGTAATTTGGTCAATAGACTACTAAATATAATGGATATTAACATGGTTCGAATCCTGCTCGTGACACTGACTTTTTTATCTCAACCAATACCTTATGTAAAGATTAATTAATTGAAAAATTCTTTAATGTTCAAAGTGATTAACATTAAACCAAAGATTTGAATTTGGAATTATATAGGCTCAATTCTGCACATGTGCAAAGTTGAACCTATTCTCTTCTCGTACTCCACCAGCTTTTGCTATTTACAGTAAATTTGCTGGCAGATTCGAGAATCACACACCCTGGGTGTTGGCAGTCCGGGGCAGACCTCAGTCTCATCTGTCCAGCCATGGAGGTTGGGTTCTGGGGCGGGGTTGCTAGGTCAATTAAGCAGCCAATTCAGTTCCAAACCCATTCCTACTCATGTTCATTTAAATACAGTCCCTTCTATTTATATGCCGTTCAATTAATTAGCGTGGTGGAGTTCCATCACTCTTTGCACGTATTATACATCTAACCTAATTGAGGGTCGATGGGGTACTCGATATTCTGCCATCGACCCTCTCAAAGGACACATTCATTCTAATAAATACATTCACTCTCAACATAACCTTTACACATATTATACAAATATCCTAATTGAGGTTTGTTGGATTACTCGAAATTCCAACATTGCTCTTCACATTGTGCATTCATGCTAATAAATACATTCACTCTCAACACAAACTAGGTAATTATTAGTATATACAACAACCCCATTTCCTCCAAGAATTGGAACATGTGACCCAAATACTTGCTGCCGTGCTCAAGCACAATTGTCAAATTGGGTGGTATTCCTGCGCACTCTCTGTATGGAGCCAAGGAATTGCACCCTTCAATTAGGTGGACACATCGAGCAAACTTTCCCTGCATGCCAGACACATATTCAGGTTTTGGCCCAAAATCATGGCCTATCCTCAGTACCTAAGTGACTGGGTACCCAGACAACCACCGTTTTGCCGGGACGTTCCAGTTTGTGGTATCTCTCCAACAAAGGTACTGCAAGAGGATAGAAGGAAAAAATGCCATGCTGAGGAGTCAGTGCAGAACCACCATTGTCTCGAATCACCCCAAGCACGTGACAATTGCATACAGTTCTGCCATGTAAATGCTACAAGTGTGGCAGGAGCGACGACGAAGTAGACGCACCCTCACGATACGCAGCCCATGCCATACCTTCATCAGTCTTAGACCAGGCTGTAAAGACAAGCCAGAAACCAGATTACCTAGACCTAAGTTTCAACAACTTGGCTCAGTAAAGGTACGGCGAAGTATACGGTTATACACCTCTCCCTCACCAACGTCAAAGTCAATCTGGATTCAATCTTTCTCAGTTTTCATTCTGCAAAAGCTGTTTGAGTATGCCTCGGAACTTGACACAACTGCAAAGTGCTGTTCCAATTTGTCAGCACCTGATGCCTCGGTAACATTCCCATGATTTGTACTTAGTATCGGGGCCATCGGAATTCTAGGTCAACTAGAGAGAGCCCTGATTCTTCGCCAGACCTCCTCAATCAAAGTACGAAAGTTGATATACTTCGTTAGCAATTCCCTTTTGGCTTGGGAGAGTATGCGCACGTCTCTTGCTGGCTCTTTTAACTTTGTATGTAATCAAATTATCTTCGTCAGGTGCCTTCTGTAGCACCGAAAATCCCATTTTTTCTCTGTGTGTGTTCTGACGCAGTCCAGGTAGACCCATGTATCTGGGGGACCAATAAGCTTGCAGCCTGGTTTATCTCCTTCTCAAAGAGTCAGAGATTTCTGTTGTTGTCTCCTATGAGGGTAGGAAACATGAACGACACGGAGAAAAGTGGCAATTTGCTCACTTCAAGACCCACCTAGCCAGAGGAATACAACAGTACGTCTGCGTCGCAACGGAACTCTTCAGTCTCTTTTATTTGGGTTCTCTTTCTGCAGGTTTGGTCAAGGCCTTTCCTTACTCTGATCTCTTTTATGTTTTTCTGTGACAGCAGTTAAGGGAGGCCTCTAATTCTGTGGGGGAGCTAAAGTCTGTAACCTAGGTGTACCTGCAACAACTCCACCGATGTTGCTGCCACCCTTAAAGGGCCCTACCCGGCAATGGTGGTGGGTGCTTAAACACAGATGTTTGAGAGGATGACTTTATCCCTCTGCTTTAGGGGTGGCTTTTAGTGCCACAAAAACTGCAGCAGGTTTTTCTCCAGTGCTTTATGCACTGGAGTAGGGAAACGGCATGAGCAAAGCTCCCCTACACCAATGATTGCCCTGACCACCCGGAAGGAGAGCCTTTCTACAGTTTTCAAGTGTTGAATCTCTTTTCCTCCACGAGGGCAGGACAAACGCTAGAGCGAACAGTGTGCACTATGGTTGCTACATGCTGATTCTTTTGGGTGAGCTTCCCTCCCACACTTTCAAAACTCCTGCAGTGACTTAAAATGCAGGAAAATATGCCCAAGCCTCTGTCACTTATAGCACTGTAAAGCCTCTGGTATATAAAGGCGGACCTTTAATTTAAAAAAAAAAAACAAAAAAAAACCTAATTTGAAAGAACCAAAAATACTTGAATTTTTGCAAACTACGATGAAATACTTAAATGCATACATTTATAAATAAACGACAAAATAATTAACATTGACAAAAATTAAAAAAAAAAAAAACATTTAAAAATGCATGGATGTGAATGAAATTTTGTCGTTTTTACGGCATATTCCGGTCGAAAGAAAAACAAAAAATCTACCTGAGTTGCTGCTGGGCTGATCTGCAAAGCGTTGACATGGGCTGATAATTGTCGTATGACTGGAGAGTACTGAACACTGGGATCGGCTCCTTGCATCATCTGTACAGTACACATCTGTCGTATACAAACAGCGTCAATCAGTCAAGGCAGTCAACACAAAACACAAACTCAGGCTTTCCCCTCGACTAGTGTCACTCTTGTTTTTGTCTTAGTCATAGTTTACAAACAAAAAAATAATAAAAAGTCACGTGTTCTGTCGTGCAGAATGTTCATGTGAACATGCACAATGGGTCTGTATAATGCGATGAGAAAGAAAGATACCAAAATAAACGGAAAATGACACGGTAACATTAAAATTTAATGAAAAGTGTGATCAATAAACAGGCGGTAATATAAAACTTTTTTCATATTACTGAAAAAGTTAGTTATAATTTTATCATATTTTGATACTTTTGGGAGTGCTAAACACATCGTTAGTAAGAAGGGCTAATAATTTAAAGCATTATTAATAACACAAGTAATTAATTAAATACTTAAAACCTATGATATTAACGTTGTCGTAAAAAAAACCCAAAAACAAATAAGGATAAGTGGAAAAGAAATATTTTACTGATCACACTTAAGCAAATGTGAATTGTAAAAACATTAAGATGTCATAACTTGCAAGAAGAAAGAGTGCTTAGCCTACAATAACAATAAAAATAAGTAAATAAATTAAAAAATGATAATTACCTCTACCTGCGACATATGTGGAGGAGGCTGTGCCTGCATTACTGTGTACTGAGGCAGTACGCTGTGCCAGGGAGCGGCTTGGAGTTGGAAACTCGGGACCTGGGCTTGATAAGCGTTTCCATATTGTGCAGTGAGTGGGAGCATGTGCCCAGCCCCGACGCCGTTCTGTCCAGAAGTGTCATATCCCATCTGGCTTCCTTGGAGCTGCAATTTAAACGGATTAATAATCAATTGACTTTAGGTTTAATTGTATTCTTTACCTCATTGCCGTCTCTCCAGATCCTTCCGTCGGTCCTATACATATTTCGCTTTTTCTGGCCCCCATCAGCAAATTTAACTAGAAGGGGCTCTTTACTACCAGAAAGGGGTTTGCCGTTAAATACTTGAATTATCTGCTCGCATTTCTCTCTTGTCTCCATCCTTAAAGTATAAAATTATTTTGTTAACATTATAAATTTTGAACAAAGGAGAGACTATTGTATCAGGTCATAAAATAAATCCATAGCTTTTTTTAAATTGGTAAATTCAATGAAAATTTCACGTGCATGTACACAATTTTAATAAAAAATACAAGAACAATTTTATTCCACTACTAATCATCATCCATGAAATTTTGGTTATTCCCTACTCTCAGAACTTATCAGGTTTTTGAGCAATGAATTTCTCTGTGCGTTTTCTGCGTCCTCAAGTTAGGTAAATTTTTCCATTAAAAGTTTTACAGAGTCAATAATAATTAACGCATAAAAAGGGCAATGTCAGTCAAATATGTACGGGTAGAACATCCCGGCCCAGTTTCCACAATTTTTGGCACATGTGCAAAGACTCATACGGACAGTGTTATCCTGGTAGATAACAATATACTGATGACTAGATGTTTAGAATTATCTGTTTTATTATTATCTGTTATTAATTTATGTAGTTTTTGGTCAATTACTGAAAATAATTGTTCCAACCGTAAGAGAAACACTAGAATTAACGGTTTGGTTGGGCAGAAAAAGCTCATAATTAGAACCCAGATTTATAAAATAAAAATAAAAAATCCTCAAATATGCCATACACTAAAAAAACCCTTAAATATGCCATATAATTTACATTAAAAAACCCCTTAAATATTTCATATAATTTGAACTAAAAATATTTCATTATTTAAGTCAGACATCACCCAAATAATAATGAACTTTTTTTAAAAAAATGTATATATATATTTGGTGTAGAGCATACCCTATTTGAAAGGAAATAGAAAAGAAAAAGATCGTGAGATGAGGTCTGGTGGGATGTAGGGTTCAGAAAAACATTTTCTTTATCGTGCCAACGTTTCGATCTTTACAATTAATTAAGGTTTTTAGTTGAAATGAAAAAAAGTTAATGGCACGAGCAGGATTCAAACCCACGATCTTCGGCTAGATACGCTGCTGCTCTACCACTTGAGCTATCGTGACCTCGATCCACTCGGACACCAACTTCCTATCTCAACCCCACCTGATGAGCTTCCCTCCTTTTTGCCATTTTTCAAGTTTCGATCTTTATTGAGATCATCTTCAGGGCTCAAAGTGTTTGTTTTGTGCAGAATTGTGTCATTCTTGTGTGTCATGTTGGGGGCCTACAGGGCACAATTACAGAGAAAACAAACACTTTGAGCCCTGAAGATGATCTCAATAAAGATCGAAACTTGAAAAATGGCAAAAAGGTGGGAAAACTCATCAGGTGGGGTTGAGATAGGAAGTTGGTGTCCGAGTGGATCGAGGTCACGATAGCTCAAGTGGTAGAGCAGCGGCGTATCTAGCCGAAGATCATGGGTTTGAATCCCGAATCACTCTCGACACGACACGCAAGAATGGCACAATTACACATAAGACAAACACTTTGAGCCCTGAAGATAATCTCAATAAAGATCGAAACGTTGGCACGATAAAGAAAATGTTTTTCTGAAACCTACATCACACCAGACCGCATCTCACGATTTCTAAATAAATTAAAGTATTATACAACAGAACTAATTAAGCTTAATTAAGTCCATGATCTGAATTAACATTTACAACAAACATTACAACAATCAAAGTTAGTTTCTGTAAAACTACAGCCTATTATAAATATTAATGTTATAAATTCCTACACCACCTCGGATTTCAGTTTTGCGTTGAATAGAAAAATCCAGCCTGCTATTTTAGAAGTTGAAGTTCACACTTTTGGCATTTTTTAGGTTTTCTAGGTTGGGACTATGAATGAGGATTTACACTATTTTTCTGTTTCCAATTTTAATGCAAAGACGGTAGAACAGAAAAATTAGTGCCACGAGCGCGGCTTGAACCCATGACCTTCAGTTTCATGGGTTTGAGTCACACTCGTGACACTAATTTTTCTTCCCAATCGTCTTTGCAATAAAATTGGAAATAATAATTTGATAATAATAAACAGATAACTAATTAAATAACTATTTTCATGTTTCAAATGAGGCCCCTATTTTTCCGCAATCCAACTACTTCAGAAAAGTTAGTTTTTCAGAAAAGGCAAGAACTGCACTCAGAAGAGCTTTCTATATTTGTTCCCTGAAAGTTAGATAAAAATGTCTTTTTACTGTCATGTTCTTAGATACCTAATTTTTTATTATTTCAGTACTCAAATTTTTTTTTAAATTTGCGTTTTTCTTGAAATATGCAAAATACAATTTGAACTATTTTACCATGGAGGTATGATTCGAATAAATATCTGATCCCATGCCCATAAGTGTTAGCAAAATGATATGACAAACACTCTGCATCAAGGTATGTCTTGAAGATAAAAGCCACTTCAGTTGTTACTGCCAATCTTATACAGGAGTCCTTGGCAATTTTAGGACTGAATCAATCTTCAAGGAAATTTGAGATCACCTGTAAAAAATCTACAGACATATTTAAGATTGTTTTTGCCCTGATGATGTCCTTAAAATAGGGCTTGGCAGTAACAACCGAATTGCTTTTTTCTTCAAGACATTGATCCAGAGTGTTCATGAGTGAACAAGTGGTCGATCCTTCTAACACTGAAAAAAGGATATGCAATTGCATACAAATCCACTCATAATAAAGCACTCCCTTCCGATCCCACCAAATGTACAACATTTTTGGGATGAAATCAGGGGAGTTGTTAAATGGGTCAGGGGTTTTCCTATCTGAGCATTATTATAAAAAGCTCACTTTTCATCCCGTTATAAATATTTTTAAAAATGGGTCATTTACATTGCACTTTATGAAGGAATCGCAGATGGAGGTGCAATTCATTAAATTCTTTTCTCAAACACGATGTCTTATATCGTTAATTGTGGGTTATTTGTGTTAAAAGCTTGAATTTGATCGGTTAAGGATGACTAGAGAACTTTGTCTTCCAAATAAAAATTTTTGCTTCTGAACTGAGACAACCACTTACGAATGGTGTTTCCTTTTTAAAAATCATCACTATGCACATTACAAATTTTCCTAGCAGTCTTAGTTGCGATTTTTCTTTTGTTAATGGAAAAAACTAAATAAAAAAATTGCACTATTTTTTCCTCCATTTTAAATTAGCAAAATGACTTGTAAAAATAGAAGATCTCAAACAAAAACTGCTTCAAATGACGAGTTAGAATTGAGTTAGTTAAAAAATGCTAAGGACTTATTTTGCGGTTGTGACTTTGTGAGTGGTAAAGGTAGAATAAAACATCTGAAGAATGTATCCTCACCTGGCAAATCCCACACCTTTACTCATCCCTGATGTGTCTTTGAGTATCCTGGTGGATACCACTTGACCGTACTGCTTCAACAAATTTTCTAAATCTGTCTCTTTGTAATTTGGGGGAAGATTTGCTATATACAGATTTGTCGGGTCCTGCTCTTGTTGCTGAAAAGAAAAAAAGGATTGCTATGAATTAATACTGTCGATAATGATTTATCTAAATCCTTAATGTCTACTTGTACATATATCTAGATTTTGGCCAATTTTCTCTTTAAATATACTTTCTTAAAAAGCGGTTACTTCAAGATGAAATCGTATTTTAAATATTTGCTTAGGTTTAGGGTGTTTTATTTGGTTGAATTTTTAGGCTCATTATGCTTACAGACTGTTCGTAGGATGAAATTAATAAAAGTTCCCAAAATAAAAAATCTCGCAGGTGCACAAAATTATCACAATTTATTTTCATAATCGTCAAATATTTGAAATATAGACACATAACACATATACACAATGAGATGTAGAGAAAAGAAACAAAAATACAGAAAGAAACACAATCTAGAGAAAAAGAGTTGCTGAAACATAACAATTCTGCATTTGTGCACCACGGAGAATGATTTTTCAGTTTAATATACAAATTGTCAATGAAAATTAACTCTTTAAAGAGATTTTTCTATAAATCACACCATTGAGAAACCAAATTAAGCACCCAAGTAGATGATAATTTCATAGAATGTTTTTTTGTTTCAAGTAAATACATCAGAAATAAATTTATTTTGTCAAGGAGGGGGACTATGAAGCACTACAGAACTAACGAAATTTCAAAAATATGTTTAAACTTTCAGATATAAAACATCTCCACAATAATAGAAATCTACTTGATAGATAACAGAGATATTCAACAAAAAAGTATTGTCTACTTCTGGAAAATTGGGGTAACTATAACAGCGAACTCTACTGCGTCTAAACATTTAAAATATAATATAGCTACACAAGTTAGTTCAATTTTTCATTATTTGAATTCTTATTAAAACAGTATCTCATTATGTTAATATTTTAGATTTAATAAAACTGCAATTGACAGTATTAATAATAATATTAATGAAGGTTAGTAATAATAGAAGTGTTAGTGGTTTTTAGATCTCAAAAATTATTCTGTTATTATTCCACCACCAGACACATGCTTCAATGCGTAGAAAGCTAAGATTCTTCCAGGGCTAAGGTTTATCAACATATTACAGCGCAAAAAAAAGCACGGACAGACAACCGAATATAACATTGATTTAAATAAATAAAATGAAAATCAACACAAAATAAAAATATCACCAAGCTATAATTTATTATTATACATATTGATATATAAACACTATTTACAAGAATGACAAAATAAATTGAAAATAAAATTTCTTGTACAAAATTTCTACCAGTTCAACTAAAAATAGAATACAATTAAGACACATTGAACTATGATAAAAAAATTGTCTTTTTTTTTGTACGTAACTGTTAAATACCTTGATTTAATTTGCTTGAAAAAACAATTTAAATGATATAAATTCTGGGCCCTATTTTTAGAAAAATTTCTTTGAAAATTTATAAAATGGTTCATATGAGAATGAAAATAGTAAGAAAAACAAAAATCTCATGAATTCTGTCCAATTAAATATAGAAAAGGAAAAAAATGGTAAAAACCTTTGCCTTCTGGGTGTTCATCAAAACTCTGCTAAATAGACAAAAAAATTTACTTCTATTTATCAACTAAAACCGTGTTTGATTAATTATTAGTGACACATTGATTTTCAATAGTGATATTTCCTCCTGTGGTCTGCGGGGTGACGAAACTGTACTTTGGTTGTTGATCTTTCTCACCTGCCTATCCTCACTGTCTTGGTCTGTCAGATTTCAGCACAATTAAGAGGTGGTTTTTGTTTGATGCCTCATCCTGCTTATATCACATCTGATAAACCAACACGACTATAGGCAAATGAAACTGATCAATGACGATCCAATTATAGATCTGAACTTTGCAGGTTTAAAAATAGTTAAACAGACTTTTTTAAGGCTGTATTAAAACAAAATTTTAAATAAAATTAAAATCTGCTAGTGAGACAACTAGCAAGGATAGGCAGGCCAAAATGATCGTTAATGAACAAATTAAATTAATTTTATAATCTTAAGTTAAAACATAATACAGCATATTCAAATTGAATTTTATTAAAGCACAAAATCAACTTAAAAAAAAAAATTGAAAATTTTTAAAAGGCTGTTTATCTGTTGTAAACCAAAATCAATTATATAAAAAAATGTACAACACTAATTGGGGGGGGGGGGGTTATCAGGGAGGTGAATCATGAACCATTTCATAAAATCCTAAATTAGTGACTGTATTTTTATTTTGTTTGCCTGCGGTCTGTTTTGTTTTCAAAGCCCCAATAGGACACAAACGATTAAAGCGATAACAGGGGAAGGACATAAATGTAAAATGTATAATCGAACTTTTACTCCATCATTAAATATTATAGAACAAAGACAAGTTATGAGACAGAAAGAACATCGGTTTTCCTTTTTTGTTTTTTCATTTTAATTATTTCTACATTATTATTATATTATCTACAACTACTGTTTGTTATGAGAAATTGATTATGTTTAGTGTTAGGCAAATGGCTCACGTGTTGTCTGACTTTTGTGTGCGAGTGCAAGTATGTGTGTGCGTGTGTGTGTTTGCAAGTATATTTACATTAAAGTTTTTTTAAATGATTTACACAAAAAAACAGTATAATTTTGAAATTACTGTTTATAATACAGGTTAGTATGGCAGAAGAGACATTAACAAAAAGCGAATGTCGTTATATTACAGAATGTATTGTAAGAGAATGCATCGTGTGAATATATATTGAGATTTTATTTCAAAAATCAATGAAACACCCCTTCTTCTTGGCCCTCAATACTTTCAGATTTGATTTTTTTTATCGAATTGAAAAAAAATATGACTGATTTTTGAGATTGTTACTACGATTTTGAAATGAATCAAGCAAACGACAAAAATTAGTGTTTTTTAAATTTAGTTTTGGGAAAAAATATGACTGATTTTTAAGATTGCTACTAGGTTTTTGAAATAAATCAACCAATAGGCAAAAATTCAATCAGGTTTTTTTTTTTAATCAGCCATTTGCCTTTCCCCTGTCGCGTTTTTTATGTGCGGTCTGTGTAGAGATGTTCAGTGGGTTATCAGTTTTAATGTGAAGTGTGAAATTTTTGAGAAGAAATTACTGTCATGCAACAAACGTACAGTTGTCGGGCAACGGAGAAGGGTGATACCCACTTTGGCCATCTGCGCTTGTATGCCCTTGGCCTGTAGGGCTTTGACTGCAGCTTCTGCACACTCACCGGATTCAAAATCCACGAATCCGTAACCTAGAACATTACCCTTAGTCGTAACAGAAAAAAAAAGAAAAAAAAGAAGAAAGAACAACTAAATAAAATTAAAATAAAACCACCATAACAAATGGAACATAAGAAAATTGTTTTCAATTGAAACGTTTGCAACAAAAAAAGTACTTAGAAAAATTAAAGAAAATTTAAACTGATATCAGAACAAAAATAAAGGTTTAAGAACATTTTAAGGTATTAATTTCATACACATTATTAATATTTTTATAGATCTACATTACCTATTGACCGATGTTTTTTATTTTTTTTAAATAAATATTTTGTTTACCTTTACATTTGCTCGTATTTTTATCTAAGATGGCTTTGGTGGAAATTATATTTCCAAACCTGAAACAGAAAAAAATACGCCTTATAACTCATAAAATGCATTAAATTTATACACATATCCTTCCTCAAATTTGCTATTTTTGTATTGTAAGAATGGAGCACATAGATATTTCAATAAATATATTTTCTTAAGAAAATTCTCCTATTCAGACAATGTATGGGATTCGATGTATGTTTTTTGTCACTACATAATCTCAGATAGGGCACAATAGTGCAGGTTGGAATGAGATTTTTATTGAAATGAGGAATTTCAGAGGATAAAGATGGGTGGATTTAGTTTCATTACTTTTATCCTCCTTTAACAAGACCAACATTGGATTAGGAACACCTGGATGATAGGATGGTGGGTAAAAAAGAGCATGCAATATTATTATGGAGAACAGGAATGTTGGTTGTTCACATCATGAATAGGAAGGGTCCTAGGATGATGCCCTGGAGAATACCCACTTTAATGGGAAAAGATAAGAAAAGGGACCTACTGGATAAGGACAACATAGATATAAGGATTGGATGATAGGATGGTGTGTCAAAAACGAGCACAAAATATTGTTATGGAGAACAGGAATGTTGGTTGTGTATATCATGAATAGGAAGGGTCCTAGGATGATGCCCTAGAAAATACCCGCTTTAATGGGAAAAGATAAGAAAAGGGACCTACTGGATATAAGGACAACATAGATATAAGGATTGGATGATAGGATGGTGTGCCAAAAAAGAGCATGTAATATTGTTATGGACAACAGGAAAGTTAGTAGTGTATATCATGAATAGGAAGGGCCCTAGGATGATGCCCTGGAGAATACCCGTTTTAATGGAATTTATGAAAAGAATTTAAGTAATAACAAGTATGTGAAAAAAAGGAAGCCCATGAGCTCCACATTACTATGAGGGGGTCATATCTGCTTAAATGCTCGAGCTATATTGAGAATGACACCCAAGCAATACTGTACTTTGCTCAAGAGAGGATGATGTGTTTACATTGCTGGAGTGAAATGAGCGGAAACCAAACTGATGATGAGGTAGGATATTAGCAGCTTCAAGCTATTTATATCAATGCTTACAGGAAGAACTTAGAAAGATATTGACTAGGGCAGGAAGTAGACTGATAGGGCAGTTGTAGGAGTTTGGATGTTAGTAGACTTGTTTGATTGTTTAGGAATCGTTTTGATTATGAAGTATGTATTTCCACTGCATTAGAAGTAAAAAGTTGCAGATGTATGTCAGAAAAATAAAACCTTTTTTACTGTTTCTGCTAAAGAGAGGATGATATAGTGTCCACAATGCTGGAGTGAAATAAGCGGAAACCAAACTTATGGTGAGGTAAGAAATTAGCTGTTTCAGCTATTGATCATCTTATGAGGAAGACGTTTGCAAGGATTTTGCCTATGCGAGAAGGAGACTGACAAATGTTCCCTCGGGTCGTATTGCCCGAGAGTGATGCTGAGGTTCTTTTTTGACCACACCTGCACATGGCCTTATCATTTGTTCTCAAGCTGGGAGGTGATGCACTTCAGCTTGAATGTCGAGTAGGTTTGTTGGGTATTGAAATCATTTTAATTATTAAGTATTTCAACTGTATTAGGAGCACAGCATTGTAGATGTATGTCCAAAAAATAAGACATTTTTTATTGTTTCTGCTATAGATGATATATTGTCCGCTGGAGTGAAATGAGCAGAAACCAAACTTATGGTGAGGTAAGATATTAGCAGTTTCAGCTATTGATCATCTTATGAGGAAGAGGTTTGCAAGGATTTTACCAAATGCAGGAAGGACACAAGACAGTCATAGAAACTTAGAGGTTGGGAAGGTTTACTTCAATACAGATAGATAGATGTATGTCTGTTTGTAGATGTATGTCAGAAAAAGAAGATTTTTTTTGGCCAATTTCTACAATACGTTCTTTGACACTGGGTCATATCCTGAGGCTTTTCAGGAAGGTAAATTTTTAATGATGTTTAAATTCGGAAGGTAATGTAAGCTGAAGGTAATTTTCGTTCTTCAAAAGGGCGGAGTAAATGGCTTGTTCAATGTATAAATTTACCGACTGAAATGAGTTTTGGTTTTATATTTTACAAAACGTTAAGTTTTTACAAGAAAAAAGTTTAATAAATAATTTTTTCAAATTAATTTCATACTCGTACACTTTTTGAGGCAGAAGGAATTTGGCAGTTTATCTCTTTTACATTGTTCCCAAATTCCACGCTCCAGAATCCCAAGCCGATCCAGCCGTTTCGGAGGAAAACACCAACAAAGTTGGAATAGTTGAACACGCCAGGGGTACAGCATTCCAAAATAATCCGAAACACAAATCAAGTGTGAATAAAACAACTTTTTATTCTTATTCGGACGATCAAAATGAAATAAATACACTTTTTTTTTTAATTTAGCCAAACCCATGATAAATTTATTGGGCTTTCTCCCGGCCAAAGTGAAAGACTGATCGTAAAAAGTTTCCGCGTTTAAAATTTGACCAAGGATGGAAAGCAAGCCCAATTAGAAGAAGGTTTATTAACGTTTCTAATATATTAATAAATTTTCTTTATTTTTTACACTTCATTCCTTAACTTTTCTACATCTTTTAGTTTCTTCAGGGTGAAGAGGGCATTAAATGGCAAAAAGGAGGGAAAATTCAAAAGGTGTGGTTGAGCAGCGGCGTATCTAGCCGAAGATCGTGGGTTCGAATCCCGCTCGTGCCATTGACTTTTTTATCTCAACTGAAAACGTTAATTAATTGTAATAAATTCAAAAGGTTTTGCAAAGGCCGCGTGACAAAAATCGGCAACATTTATAAATTCGACTTAAATTTCAAATAGAAAATCATCAACAGAAGCAAAGATGCCCGTGTGAAAGTGTTGACCTTTGACCGAATCTCTCGATTTGAGAGAATCATCCTTAAAACGAAACGTGAATTTCTTGACCTAAGACAACGCTGTGCTGTATCCAGGAAAGGACAAGACAAAATCTCACGTTTCACAACGGAATTCCTTCCAGAAGTGGAAAACCTGGAATTGGACGTTAATAGATTGACACAAGATTGAATCGGATCGGAAATAAATAGTAATGTGAACATGGGATCTTTTAACAAAGGGAAAACAGGCCCGCTGTCAAATTTTCGTCTATACAACAAAGTATGAATTGCAATTTTATCAACAAATGGCTAAAAACTATTTTCAAGGCGCACCGTTTTTCTACAAAGTAATCAAATTTAATGTCTTTATTGCTCACGGCTTTTAGAAAACCAAGAAACGGGTTCTGCGGGACAAATAACGTTTAATATCGATTCAGGGTTCAGGGTTAATTAAATTGGAAATTATTTACATCTTTTTAACGTTCAGCAAGGTTTTAAGTTCATTTAACACACAACAAAGAATAAACGCCATCAACTAAAAACAACAATTTTCTTTAAAGAGGTTTTATGTATATATTCTTTTTTTAACAAGGGTGTTTCAACTACGAGGCTATATGAACCCTCGGGTGCCGATGTTTTTGAGAAAAAAAAAGCCCATTTGTAAGTATGTCGGGTTCGAATGCAGGGCCGCTGGATTCGAACCAGGGACCTTTACCTTACAGTGTTGACACAACGCCTAAACCGTTGCGGCCACCGACGCCCCTATTCGAGCAAATCTTTAGAAATAAATAATTCGAATATTTACTACATCCACGAGGGTTTTAAGGGAAAATTACATTAGAAATATTTGGCAAAACATATTCTAATGTGTTGTTTTTTAGTGACTAGTTGTTCAATGATTTGCTGTAATAAGTGGTCAGGAATGAAGTATTTTTGAAAAATATATTTTTCATTTTTTTTTGCCAACGTTTCGACCTTTATTCGGGTCATCTTCAGGGCGTGGGTGAATTACAAAACATATATTGACTGAGAAAAAAATACAATAAAAATGTAAACATGTACATATCATATGTACATAAACATATTCTAATGCGAAGAAATATCAAGTCTATTCAGTGCAAAAAGTGAAAAAATGACTAAAATACACATCCGAGACGTAAGTTTTCTATAAAATAATCGAAAATTTACAATCTACGGGACAAAATCAACAAGCGATCTCTGGTGCAGTGATCTCTGGAATACAATGTGAACAAGCGGAGCCATTCCTACTTTAGCGTTAAAGGTAAGTTCTCGGATCGTCACAAGGCGTTCTAGAGCGAAAGCCCCTTTTGATCAAGAACGAAAGTTAGAGGTACGAAGGTGATCAGATACTCCGCCCTAGTTCTAACCAGAAACAATGCTAGCCAGCAATGCAGCAATGTTCCTTTGATGACTCGGCGGGGAATTTTCTCCTGGAAAGTTTTTGGGTTTCGGGGGAAGTATGGTTGCAACGTTGAAACATAAAGGAATTTACGGAAAAGCACAGCCAGAAGTGTAGCCTGTGGCTTAGTTTGACTCAACACTGGAAACCTCGCCAGGTCAGGATATTGGAATGATTGACAGATTGACTCTTTGATTCAATAATTAATGTGTTAATAAACGAGCGGATACCAGTTTCGAACTCGTCCCGAGACGACCCTGGCCAAATCCACTACACCACCATATTTATACCTAGTACAGTATGCCGGTTTCCCATCTTCTTCGCGGACGGTTCTAAGACAGGGGAATGTATAGCCTACAGGTACAGTAGAGGGAGTTCCACTTCATGGTCCCAACCTCTGTATTGCAGTGTGTACTCGGCCGAGTTGTTTTATATACATTATATAGATTGTTTTATAACCAAGTTTGGTGATAGATTCTGTTTTAACTGTTTCGTGAGAATGTATTTATAAGCGAGAAAGGGTATGGAGTAGAAGAACGTCGATGGCGGAATATGAAGTACCTCATCGACTATTAATTCATCTAGTTAGTGTACGTTTAGTTGTTTATAAGAGTAAAGAGTGGTGTAGGAATATCGAGTACTCCAACATCCTACTGGACTGAGTATGCAAATAAAAAAGAATTTCCCCTCGAAAAATCTTTGGCACAGTTTTCATGGATAGCCACTAGTGAATACAAACGGAGAGTTAAAAGACCTATACGAGAAACCGAATATTGTGCCTGAAATAAAAGCGAACGTCTGAGGTGAACTGGCCACGCGGAAAGGACGCCACAGGACATGGCTTTAAAGAGAGTTTACTGGGGTAAGCTAGGTGGTAAACGGCTGCGAAGAAGGCCTAGAAAGAGATGGTTGGACGACGACGAGGACGGCCTCAGAAAGATGAAGATTATATGATTAGAGACTGGGCTGAAAAGACCTTGTAGTCGATAGCCGCTGGAGCCTGCTGACTTCGGCCGAGATACGGGTAAGACCAAGGTCTAACCCCCATCAAATCATTGTGCACATTGTTGTGCACTATCGTCCAAGCGGTCCAAAGTAATTTCTGTTTTAAGCCCCCAATGTGATCCCATGTTGTACCAACTGATTTGTCCCTGTGGTGAGCTAGGATTGGACTCCAAATGACCGGCATGAAAAAAAAAACTATCGTGAACAGTCGTTACAATGCTACAGTTTGCTTCCTATCGACTCGCTATTCGCAATCTGTTTCCCACGTTCATAAATCGTATCTTTATCGTTCCATGACTCAGGGCTATATCCCTAACGTCCAAGTTTGACAATTTGGTTAGTTTTAGTCTTTTTTGTCTTTACCTCGTATTTAAAGCTCAACAGAGTTTTAGAGAGAATAGAGACAGTGATAAAAGAGGCGGCGCCAAGGCCTACTGCACCTCGACCTCGAATAGATCTATTGTGCTCCCCTGCTTTTTATAACTCACTGGCCAACTTTCAGGTTGTTAATCAGCCTCTATAACTTTGCCAACAGCTAGGATCTTGCTGCTGTTTTTCTTGCCTCTATAAGAACCTGCACGAACATAGACCTTCACAGAAACATAGAATATGTTCTGCTGTCTCCTCCTCTTCCTGGCACAGCGTTTTTTTGGTCTGTATCCTAACCGGTGCATGTGCGTTATTAAGTAGCAATGTCCTGTCAGGAGTCCAACCAGAATCCTGGTTAGATTGCGGTTGCCTTCCAGTAATTGGTTTGTAAGTCTTGTGGATGGTTCTTCTATGAATCTCTTCGCGTACCTCATACCTGTGGTATGAGGTCCACCAGGTTTTGAACTCATTAAGGATCCATTTTAAGTTGTATCCTATCTTCTGCCAAGATGCTAAGCCATAGAGTCCATGCCCCCTCTTTGACATTTGCCACCGCCAACATGACAACCTTTTCGTTGCCTCTTGAGGGAACAGTTTGCGTTAATTACACTTTACTCCATTTGGTGAATTCGTTTCCGTGCTGAGGGCGTCCCGTCTGACTGACCAAACACAAAGCTTCGGGAGAAGAATGCTGACAAAGATCTTTTAAAAATGAATTCTCGGACAACTTACTGTGAACACATGTTGTACAGTTCCTTGTCCGTGGTCCCGGGCGTGAGACCGTGAATGTAGAGATTAGTCTTTGAGAGCTGCGGCTCACCCGGCTGGCCGCCCATGTTGTTGCTCAGGCTAGTCGACAGCGTTCCGCTCTGCGAACCCGTGTTGGAACTCGAAGAACTGCTCGTGTTCGCTGGCGATGAGGCTGTCGGCACCCGCGGGCTGTTCGAGAATTGCTGCAACAAAAGAAACCAGAAGGAAAACTCAGTGATCGGTTCAAATTCAGTGGGCGAGGGGGACTTGGTTCTTCAGTTAAGCTAAGTTAAAATTAAGCAAAATTATTAGCAATTAACAAGTTAAAACGTGGCACGTGTAAAAACCGAGCCATTTTGGTAGTTTATAACTAATGTAAAAACTGATCCTCCTGAAGATTCAGAATTGGCATTCTTTCACAAAAATTATACGCTTGACCTAGGTAAACGGCAAAAACCACGCATTCATGCTATAATATTACGTTCATCACTGCATACGTTCCAAAGTAACAAAAACCGGGAAAAAAGGCCTATTAAATAATCTTCCCGATCGTTATACACAGCCAAAGGTATGACAACATTCGTGGCCCATCAACCCTCAGCGTTTAGGTCTACAAAACGCCTTTTGGCATATCAGGGGTCGAAAGTAAGGCACAAGAATAACTGTCAAATCGGGTAGCCTAAGCACTCTATACAGAGTCAAAGGTATGACACCATTCTTGGTCTCTCAATCCTCAGTGTTTAGGTCTGCCAAACGCGTTTGGCGAATTAGGGGACAAAAAAGGCTCAATACTAGTTTTAACATCGGGTAGCTTACGAACTCTCTATACTGACGTCATTGTTGGCCCGTCAATCCTCAGAGTTTAGGTCTGTCAAACGCCTTCTGGCATATCAGGGGTCGAAAGTAAGGCACAAGAATAATTGTCACATCGGGTAGCCTAAGCACTCTCTATACAGAGTCAAAGGTATGACTGGTCTCTCAATCCTCAGTGTTTAGGTCTGCCAAACGCGTATTGGCGAATTAGGGGACAAAAAAGGCTCAATATAGTTTTCACATCGGGTAGCTTACGAACTCTCTATACAGAGCCAAACGTATGACGTCATTGTTGGCCCGTCAATCCTCAGAGGTTAGGTCTGTCAAACGCGTTCTGGCATATCAGGGGCCGAAAGTAAGGCACAAGAATAATTGTCACATCGCGTAGCCTAAGCACTCTCTATACAGAGTCAAAGGTATGACACCATTCCTGGTCTGTCAATCCTCAGCCTACGCGCTTTCTGTATGGAACCACGGTATGAACCCGTTAGAGTACGTATTTACTAAAAACAGGTTATTGTTAGCTTCAACTCGGATCGTCCTGGGGTCTGTCTTTTCTCGATGGTTTGTCTGTTAGATATTTTTCGGCAGTTTTCCATCTTTAGTTTATTTAAGTCCAATATGTACAATTTAAATACAGAATTAAGTGTCTTCATGTCAAGGGTCGTTTCTGTTTATCCCGGTCGCCTACCCTCGCGGTTTTTTGGTCTGTCAAACGCGGTTTGCAGATCAGGGCGGCATAGAAGGACTCAAGAATAATCGACACATCTGGTAGCCTACTTGCTCCCAGTACATAACCTAGGTATGACCCGTTAGAGTAAGTTTTTACTAAAAACAAAGATAATTGTGGCTTCAACTCAGATTATCCTTGGGTCCCATCCTCAGTGATTTGTCTATTTCTCTATCGATGGTTAATTTAACTACTGTATTTCAAATTTAGGTGGGAAAGTAGAATGAAATGAGTTTTCTTGTCAAACCTGACGGGTAGATGGAATTTGGACGTTTTTGTACATCTTGGTCCGCCTACTCTCGCTTTTATTTTGCTCTGCCAAATATGTACTGGCATTTCGCGTTCTTCAGTTGTTGGTTTGTCCAATAAAAGATTATTTATTTAATCTGTTAATATTTTTAAATAATTACTTTTCCTTTCCATCTGATAATTGAACAAATTGACCGACGCCTTATCGCTGAAGGGTTTTAACATATTATAAAACCTAAGGAAAAAAGCTTACGTAAAAAAGACGAAAAATGTCTTTTTACCGTTATTAGATTAGAGAAAAAAAGTTTAATTGAGATCACAGTTGTTAACGGGCAGAGTGGCCGGGATGAGTCAAGCCTGTCGGTGGAGTGTCACTTGTCCGATATGCGGGCCCACGCGTTGCATATTCAACGAGTCCTTTTTCGAAAATATACCAACCCGCCTGGGGCCGTTTCGAAGAAAAATAATGTGAAAATTATTCCCTTTTCGAGAGGCTGGCATTTTAAAGCGTGGGAGAATAAAATCCGCCTGTTTTGGGTGGCCTGGACGAAAGATGTACCATGACGTTCATACAGAGGAGTCGGGCGGAATTTCAAATGGTTCCTTCCAAATCATACTTAACCAATCTAAAATATATAGCTAAAATTCGGGGTCGATTTGGCAAAAAACTCAACTGGAAAACCACTATCTTCTTTAAGCCTAGTCCTAACTGTAAATGATTCCGAACGATCTACCCAAGTTGCACGACAGTTCAACTTTGTTTTTAGCTTGTTTTCAAAGTCTGGTCGTGTTCAGTAAAACAGAGACCTCGGATTAGTTTGAGATAAGTGGTTATTATGTGGGGGAGAAGTGAAAAGGTATTTAAGGCCCTAGGAGCCCAACTGAAGTTAAAATGAAGACGTCACAGGAAAGGATCAGTGGAACCCTATCAAATCAGTTTCAAGTGACTTTGACTCAGACAAGGAGACCAATCAATAAATTTCATACTAGAAAAGAATGATAAGAGCAATCTAAACTAGCCCTGCAGAGAATATTTATAATAGGATGACGTACAATGTAGCCATCACAACGCGCGCTTTACGATTCTTTCAGAAGACCTGGAAGAGTTAAAACCAATAAATACCTAATATCTGATGACGGCAGAGAAGTTATAGAAGAAGTGCAAATTAATCGGTTCAAATGATATCAGAGCTAAGAACTCTGGTGGTCATTGGGGTCAAGGCAGCCTTTCTGTTTTGAATAAAGTGCTTAAATAACAAGCATTCCCTTAAGATGAAAAACCAGTTGGTGATGTGCGGGAGCGAACCCTGAAGCTAGGGGATCCGCAATAACAAGTCACCATCACATAAGTCGATGACTGACACAACCGTAGTTGCATAGAATGCAGGATAAGAGCGAATAATATGATTGGGCAGGGAGATCGAAGGGAAACATAAGCAGGCGTTTTTGTAACTTAGGCTAAAGCTTAGCGCCACATAATGCAACTTTAACTACATTACAAAAGGAGTGATGGTAAAAATAAATATTAAAAGATGAATGGTTTGGGAAAATATAACAAAATAATGTGGTGCATCAGGACCTAATAATAACACAAGTATAAATCTTGAAAACACAATAATTGTATTAATTTAGTATTTTACCTCCAAGCATAAGCACCAGAGCTTCAAAATCACTTGGCTAATTACTAATAAAATTCTACAACCTATATGCCACAATTAGTGCCTTCCATTACTACATTTCCGATCCATGACCTTCTCATTTTATTTCTTTCTTTGGCTGTTATTTGAAATAAATTGACAACAAAAACTATTGCAAAAGTGGACAAGGAACAAACAACAAATTTCAATACTGTTCAGTTGGGATTGTCATCAAAAAAATTATAGTAGAAACACATAAAAATGATGCTGAGAAAAGTGGTACTTCCCTACAACTAACACTAGAGGACCACTGACCTCTGGGCTTCCAAGCTCCAAAACTGTTCGGGTATTTACAACCTGTACTAGGCTTGATAATGATGTTCAAAAATTTAAAATGGTGCCGAGAAAATGGTAATTTGCTGCTACAAACACTAGAGAACCAATGACTGGGCTTCGAAGCAATGTCCAATAATGTTCTGGTATTTACCACCTGTACTAGGCTTGGTAATGATGTTCAAAAATTTAAAATTGAGCTGAGAAAATGTAGTTTGCTACTACAAACACTAGAGAACCAATGACCTCTGGGCTTCCAAGCAATGTCCAATAATGTTCTGGTTGATGTTCAAAAGTTTAAAATGGTGCTGAGAAAATGGTAGTTTGCTACTACAAACACTAGAGAACCACTGACCTCTGGGCTTACAAGCAATGTCCAATACAGTTCGGGTATTTACAACCTGTACTAGACTTAATAATGATGTTCAAAAGTTTAAAATAATGCTGAGAAAAGCGGTAGTTTGCTACTACAAACACTAGAGAACCAATGACCTCTGGGCTTCCAAGCAATGTCCAATAATGCTCTGGCTGATGTTCAAAAGTTTAAAATGGTGTCGAGAAAACGGTAGTTTGCTACTACAAACTCTAGAGAACCAATGACCTCTGGGCTTCCAAGCAATGTCCAATACTGTTCGGGTATTTACAACCTGTACTAGACTTAATAATGATGTTCAAAAGTTTAAAACAATGCTGAGAAAAGCGGTATTTTGCTACTACAAACGCTAGAGAACCACTGACCTCTGGCTTCCAAGTAATGTCCAATACTGTTCGGGTATTTACATAGCTGTACCAGGCTTGATAATGATGCTCAAAAGTTTAAAATGGTGCTGAGAAAAGTGGTATTTCGCTACTACCATCAGCAGAGAAACCCTGACCCAGTGACCTCTGGATGCTAAACAAGATCATCAAACATAAAGCGTTGTTTACTGGCTTGTTTAATCTGTAGACGTCACAAGAATTTGCTTTTAAGCTATCACACGTATTTAATGGAAAATACGTTAAATTAGGAATTAAATTATGATTAATGATTAGGTCTTAAGTTGGAAAAGCAGTAAAAAAACTAATTTTTTGATTAACAAATGTCGAATTTAACCTTATTTACAGATTTTAAATTGGATATTAAAACAGAGGGTAGAAATTGGAGTTCAATGAAGTTAAAAAAGGGCGAAGGGCGAGGCGATGAGTGCAACCAGGACTCAGAAAGGGGCGTGGGGGAGATAAGGAAGACGTACCAACCTAGAACGAGGAGTGATGCCGGGTCCGAGGCCGATCGAAGACTGGAGAATTTTTTTCTATGGCAATGCACTTATCAGTGCGTGGGTCGGCGGAATTTTATCAACAGAACGGCATATAGGAAGGGAACTGTCTACCCCTTTTCTTCCTTTAAAGGGGCGTCAATCAGTAAAGAAACGAAAGCCTTCTCAGTCGGAAATTCGTTTAT